TTAGATCGTTTCATTACAAACTGAAAGTCGACTTGGTAAAGGTCGATTCAAAACAAATTGAAGTCAAATCGATGCGTCCACAAACTCAATTCGATACATCGATTTTAGACGACTTCAGTAGGTCGTGCACAGTCCATTTTTGGCCGATCTTACACATATGTTTACGGTATTATATTACAATTGTCGCTGTTTCGAAGAAAAAAAACTGGAAAGAGACCTTAGTGAAATTGCCTATGACGTTAGCGAAATGAGCCATGATACGTAATTAACTTACTTGAAACGTTAGCGAAACCGCCTGAACCGTTAGCGAACTGGTCGTCAGCGAAACGGCTCCTAGGCGAAACGACTGCAACTCCCGCAGTGGCCAGTTGAGCCTTCCGAAGTTTTTTGAACAAAATGTTTGCTATCATCAAGGAGATCTTCAAATTGCAACAAGTCACCCAATTCTGTTTGATTCGAATGTTTTGGCAGCTTCCATTGATGACCGCGTGTATGATCGTATGCAGGACGTTAACTTTTCTCTCAGATCAACCATCTTCACAAGCCTCGTTAAAAAAAAAGATCAGCTTATTAGTGAGCATCTACAGGACTTCCTCTTATTGAAGCGATTAGATCACCCCTGATGAAGACACTAGATGGGAGTGTCCAGAAGTTGGGTCTATGAATTGTAACTTCTCGGTTACATTCATTAAATCTTATATATTTAACCATGTCTGATTGTCCACCTGATTGCCTTGTGACTTGAACTTCATTATATCTTCCTGTAGCTTTTTGTAGACAACAGATCTTGATTCGTTTTCTTTGCTTATAACTAAAACGACGATGAAGCTTCATGAGTATTTGCCCAAAAAAATAGGAGTTTTTGTTCAAGGTCGGTTTGGAACTCGAGCTATGCAGCATCAGTCCGGTGCTAGAAAAGTTTGAATCCTCTGACAAGTGAATTTGCTTATCGTTTTTAAAACCTAGGCACCCATATAATTTGTTTGATGCAAAGCGGCATACTCTTTGTACTGGAAAGTCGAGAAGTCAAGTACGTGGAAATAAAACAGTTTGTTGTTGTTACCGACGATCCTGAGTTTTGTCTAGGAACAACCCTGCTCTTCATTGACACTCGTAACAGTGATGCTGATCTTAAAATTACTGTGCCAAGCTACAACCTGCCAATAATATTTTTGTTTTAGTCAAGGATGCAGTATGTATAAGACTCTTAAGCTGGTGTTGTTGTTTTCTGTATACTCCTTATCAAAGAGTTTTTGTTTAAGGTCGGTTTGGAACTCAAGCTATGCAGCATCAGTCCGGTGTTAGAAAAGTTTGAATCCTCTGACGAGTGAATTTGCTTATCATTTTTAAAGCCTAGGCACCCATATAATTTGTTTGATGGAAGGCGGCATAATCTGGTGAAACGGTGTGGCTACGTGGCGTAGCTAACGTTAATCCGATCGAAGATGCGTACTCCATTTGATCATAACCAATGCGATGAATCGGAGGAACGACAACTACTCTCGAAGCTTCCCCGTCATAATTACTTTCTTACAAACTAACACCCGAAATATCAGGCTTTTTCTAAAACAGTTGGCAACACGGCAAATAGATCCTTTCTAGAAAACAGTGTAGAAATTGCTTCTTTTTGTTGCGATTTTAACACGCGAGACATATTAAATCCCGAAAGATTTTAAGTATTTTCTCGATAGCGGAATCGAAACTAACAACTTCACCATGTACAAAGCCATCTTTCGCATTTTCCCGCAAGAGGAAACTGTCCAAATGACACATTTGGCTTGTGATTGACAGCTGGAGCTTAACTGCACCAATCAGGAACTCTGTTCGCTCTGTAGGCTTCCTCAATACAGGTTGGCATGTATAGATATACAATCGGACCTGTATCAAGCGGTACTGTATTAAGCGGTCACTTAAAGCGGAATAATAATTAAGAAAATAATCTTTCAAGTAAAAAGTTTTAATCCATGGTGCAGTGATCGCCTGAAATCGATGGTAGTAGTTTTTTTAACAAGTTTTTGTACATTAAGAGGTCAATGATGGGCTAACGTAATATTTTTAGCGCTTTCTACAAAACCTCTATTTCGTGGTCACCCTCCGTTATCAGTGGGTGACGCTTAATACAGGTTAGACCGTGGCACTTGGGGTATGCATCATAATATGCTCTCTTATTGAAAGAAGTCAGACAGTTACAAACGCTGACGAAAAAAAGCGTGCCTCGACGCAAACAAGTATATTTCGGAGAAGCTTTTCTTATAAGTTTGAATTAATCAGCATATTTTCAGTTTTTTGAAGCGAACACCACCGAAGTCATGACTTGCTTGGTCTTTAAGATTGATTATTTTCAAGTTCGGTCCATAGTTCATTCTATTTTCAACTTTGCAATGTCTTGGGAGAAGAAGGCTACAGTAATTTTGAGTCATTCGTCGTCAAGAGGACTTGGCAACCAGAAATAAATATTGGGTCAGTGCCAGTTCTGGCCTCCACAAGCAACAAAATGGCGTCGAAGAGAGACGTGATGCCAACATCGACCATTTTGACACAGTTAGTCATCACTTCTAGTGTGGAATTAGGTCCAGTGGTTAATTGTATTTCATCAGAACAAGTATGTCACTCAAAATAAAGAAAATATCATTTATTATCAACAATATATATATATATATGTGTGTGTGTGTGTGTGTGTGTGTATAAGTGGAAGAGTCAAAGAGGACGCATCAATTCTCTTTTACTCTGAGTTTTGCGCCTAAGCGCTCGTCAGACAGAACTTATATGTATGTATATATATATATATATATATACATATATATATATACATATATATACACATATATGAATTTGGACTTTAGTTATGCTTATTTTTTGAGAAGCATACTTAATGCGAAGGTAATATAAAAATCTAGCATAATTTTCAGCTTAATTTGGTAAAGATCGAGCAAAGCTAATCTCACAATATGTTACCGCTTTATAAGTAGCACATTATAACATGCCACTTTTATGTAAATCCAGGGCTACATCCAAGACCTCGGGCACAGGTGGATAACATGTAATTATTTCCTATATATTTTTCTACGAGATGGTACGCACAGTTAAGAGGTGATTTTATAGCAAAAAACATAAGATGGATTTTAATTGTAATTTATAACTATATCGTTTAGACAATGGTACAGTTTAAAGTAGATATCTGTTGAATTCCAATCTCACTGAGTTATACGATGTTTTTCAGATATGCCTTATTAAGACCTAGGCTAGAATTAACTGTTTGTCTTGTGAACAAAGTAGATTCATCAAACCCGTCGTGCCTCTTTCTTTAACGTGATGTCTTCTCAGATTTTCCTGAAATCCTGAGGTCAAGGAACTGTGACCTGAAAACTACCCACAATGTCGTTCGGGGATATTGTGTGCACTTTGCCCTTTGTCCGACAACCTCTCTGCACACAGCTGTATATCGATTTCTGACGAATATCAATCAGTTATAGTCAAACTGTATTCACGTGCTATCCTCACGGTTTAAAGTCAGTTAAGCAACAGTAGTGATGAAATGCACCTTATGAATTGTACACGAGTTTTTAACTTCCTGGCCCCGGTTGTTGGAAGGATGGATATCGCTATCCACTGGATGAGTCTCTATCTGGTGGATAGCGGAATACGTTTCATCACATAAACTGCGTTGTTGTACAGGGATTTCCGGTCCTGAGAAAAGCCGTAACAACGCACGTGAAAAAATAACGTATTTTTTCACGTGTGTTGATATAAACAGTCAGCTGCTGACACGTCACTCGCCTTTGGCGCCACTCGGTCAGGTTGATGAATGAATGGCAAAGTCTTCACGATTCTCAATACACGGTCGTTTGTCGGACCTTTCTCGGATTGTGGCAGCTAAAACACTAAAATACCCGTATCGCTGACAGACTGGGACGAACTGTGAGGTTCAAAATTTCCTAGAAGGGGAAAAAAAACCAACATACTAAAAGAAAAACCGAAAGTTACGCATTCAGTGGCTTTGGTGTTGGCATTTCTCGCGGCTTACAATTAAAATCGACAACTGGAAGATTTGTCACTGGCCGATTTTGGCCGTTTACCTAAAAGACTTCTTCCGGCTATCGGTAAGAAGAAAATTACAACCATTGTTGTTTTTGTAATCATGATTCAACGCACTTTTCCATCTTAAGGGTTAGCATCGACGAATTCTATGATTGTTTTTGGGGGATTGTCGATTCATTTATTTTCATTCATTGATGAAGTCTTATTTATTTTCATTCATTAATGAACTATTATTATCTATTTCTTTACACTTATTTGCTGGATAGTGATCCATCCTTTGGATAGTGTTACCCACCCTCTGAGCACCACAACTGGGCCCTGAATGGTAATACGTGTTCAAAGAGGAAGTGCTTTGATTTTAGAGTTTATTGAGTTTTACCGGCTGTCGGGGTTGTTCGTATGCCAAACGTAAAAATAATTTTCTAGAAATTTCTAGAATGCCTAATCATGCTGACATACATACACGAACGTTTTATATTCACACTATGGATGTTTTCAGAAAATTTTACTAGCACGTATAGTCATGATGTAATGCTACCAAAATATCTGCGTTGTAAACTTTCGGAATATTCTAGAATACTTTGTAAATGTATACAAGGACTCAGTCGTGTAGTGGTACTTGTTGTTGTTGTCAGAAGGGTCTGATTGTCTGGAAAGCTTTACCGAGAGAATGCTACAGTGGAATATTATTCATTTCGAGGAGATTTGGGGGCAACTATGAGTTTGCGTTAGTGGTGAGCTAAGTTATAGACTGTATTGGGCTCAAGTAAGTGATGGACTGTAGTGGGCTTAGATAAGTGTATTAAGGATGATTGTTGTTCTGCCATTAGGAGTCACTTCTTAATGAGAATAGAACACGTAGTTTAATTGAAGTATTTAGGTTTGTAGGAGTATTGTGTTCTTTCTTTTGGTTAAATTACAACGTAACAGGGTTTTCCAAAAAGAAAAACATCAGTCAAATTTTCGTTTCTAACTGTTTTATTCCATTCTATTCTGCTCACTACAGCAATCCACTGGTTTATTAAAAGTTCCGAGATCCTGCAAAAAGTAAAATCAAATATCAAAATCTATCATGAAGGGTCAGCTCCTACATCGCTAAAATAATATAAATAGAATTGATCTGCGATTTCTGGACGCATTTCAGCTCCCGCCTTTTATTTTCTACTCTGTGTTTTTGAAATTTTTGCGTGAAGGACATATTTGCTCTCTCACCTTCAGCCCCTTCTGCAGTACATGCGGAACATCTGAAGTCTGTCCAAACCAGTGATACGATTTAGAGGGCCAATTACCACCTAATATGTGACCACAAAAAGCCAAGATGAGTTATTCAAAAATACTTTCAGTTTCTGCACAATTTACGTAAACTAGCTTTGCAATGAATCTCGTTCCCTCTGAGCTTTATTATTTTTATCAGAAAGCTTTCCATTCTTCAATGGACATCTAAATTTTCATACGTTAAGTGTAAGAATGTAACTATGATAACGTACCCCTCTTCGTCTGGGTACAATCGTTGGCTGTCCGTTCTTGGAGAAAGCCGTAGGACTATAATGCATCACGCTTCTGTAGTCGTAACGAACCCCAAGAGAGTTGACTTGAGATTTACTTCTTTTTCCGAAGTTATGCTGCCTTCCTATAAGTTTGATCATTGGTTTTAGAGAATAAAGCAGGTATGTTTAAAACTATTTTTAATTTCTTTTCCTAAAAACACGCGTCGAAATACTTTGAAGACCTTAACTTAGTAAGGCCTAATTATAGTTTGTGTTTTCTATTTGACAGTAAAGTATACGCTTATGTTTTGTTTTGAACTTTTTTTTATTTTTAAATTAATCCATACAGTTATAAATAATTCATTGTTATGGTAACTTCCTGACAAGGTTACGAATATTACCGAAATGCCAAAAAGGAACCTCAACGTGCCAGTGTTTTATTCAGTCTATCTTAAAGATTGTCACCCTTCGGGGATAAAGATTCACTCAGACCAATGTTTCAAACTAAGGGTCGTGTGAAGAACTTTCGTTATACTGCTGAAAATTTCTGTCGATCGAGTCGCCGTAATTCTTAATAGAAACCCTAAAAAACCCTGGACTTATGTAAATCTGCGTTCTATCGACCGCAGAGTACTTTAGGCTAATTTCCCCAACTTTTAATTCCGGAGTATGCCCACTTACCAGCTTGGATGTTCTGCCACAGTATTCGGACGTATCTATCCCTGTCAGGGCGAGATTGCTCGTGCCAAAAACCCAAAGCGTGCCCTGAGGGTGGAAGGGTTAGTTAGAATTTCACTTATAGAAATTACTTATTGTGTACAGGCTACCACTTGTGTTTAGCTATGAGGACACCATTAGGTCAGCGCATAATCTTAATCTTGTGTTTTACTTCCTCGTAAATACAAGAACAATCCCCACAAAAGCTTTAAAAAAGTTCTGTTGTAGACATGTTCTCCCATGAATCATGTCCATGAAGAATCTTAATGACTGAGCGAGCTAACGAATATAACGAGTTTTTGCTTCTTCCCATCCCTTCCTTTTTGTCGTTCTCTTTGTTTTTTTTCTTTGCGATAGATTATAAATATTGTTTGCTAATTCTCTCCTTTAAAAAAAGGGAAAGCACAATTTCAACAGACAACCTGAGCACAATGGTTCATAGCCACAGTAATAAAAGCAATGAAGCAATTTGAACAAATTAAGTAATGGACTGCTTCAAAACAAAACGGTGACCACTGCTTTTTAAAATTTATTTTTGCCAAAAAATTAGTCTTAGCTATGCTTAAGTCCATAAAAGTCATTTTGGTGCAAGTTTATTTCGCAAATGAGTCCTTGGAACATGATTGTTTCCTCCTAGAGCCACATAATTAGTACCCACCAATTTCATGAGCCACTATTCTCGTGCTCCAGCAACCAGAAGCTAGGTTGATGTCTTGACGCCTGCCAATTCTTCCCACAAATGATGAACATCTCAAAACGAATAACAACAGCAGCATTAACAGAATCAAGACTCTCACTCTTATGCAGACCCATAGCAACTTGAAATTTACTTCCTGTGCATGTGAATTCTTGCAGCACACTGACTAGATTTGAGGGTTCCTTTTCCCTATAGTGTCGAAATCATCAGGCTTCCACAACTTTCCAACTTTAAATCAAAGAAGCTATCCAAATTCAATGGGAGCAACCTACACTTAATCATCAACTTTATCATGTTCATTGAAAACCTTTTTTTGTAAATGCATACATTGTTTTGTTACTAGTGTTTGTTTTGTCCAATCAACATTTTACTACACACTTTAAAGTCAACTTTGTACTTTGCATGAATCATAACTGAAGATGACGGAAGAACTGTCGAAATATGTTTATAAAAAGTGTCGGTTATTTTTTTAAACTCGTGACATATCTGCTGCTATCCAGACCTAATCACTCAAAAGACCTTGACAATGATCAATTTGTTTTCTTAGAGCAGCAAAGCTCATCCGAAGAATGTATATGTAATAAACACTTCAAAGAGGCCCCCGTTTAGAGCTTCAAGTTCTTAAAAGGTCTGCCCCCATCTACCGGCGCAAAAAGCGTGCATTAGGAAAGACTTTTCCCATTCTCCGACTTTTCTTAGATATATTGCTAGTCTCCTCCGACCTTTGTAAAGAGCATTTGGACGAGTAAGAGGTGGCAATAAGGAGGAAACTAATAAGGTGCGTTTTGGTCATCAATGAGTTGGTTTAAGTGCACACTATCTATCTCTGTTAATGTGAGCCACAGCCACAATATAAGAGAGATTATAATTTTGATACCACAAGCAAAGCATTTCTGAACACTTACACTTAGCAAAGACTAAAATAATTGTTCTTACCCTGAACCACGTATAAAGTACGCGAAAGCCCTTTCGTTCCCTCTTCGTAGCCTGAAGCGGACGCAGGTTCTACTACTCCATTGACGCATTCCAGCCCATATGGCTCTCCTTGCGCTAGCATGGACAGCTTTAAATCCGATTAAAGTAAAAAGATTAGTTTTCATTGATAGCTAAGGGCCCGAAAAAGTTCAAAAGAAGTAAAAAACAAAAAAAAAACACTCACGAGTGATCACAGATAAATGCTCCTATTTAATCTTAACCTGAAAGTTTAACAATTCACGCCACGCGCAAAACTGAGAGCAAAGATAAGAATAAAAGCTTTCTCACTAGTTTCTATAAATCAGCTGTAGACATTTCACTTTGCTATCATGCACCCTGTCAAAAGGCACAAATAACCATAAATGTTACATATAAGCACTTACACAGAGAACGATCAATGGCATATACCATCGTAGCACCCGGCCATCTTCCGGTTGTAGATGCAGCTCTGCCCAAAGCAGAGTTACGTTGGTTTCTTGTACGGATAATGTCTCCTTCGAAGAGTTTCGGATCTTCAAGAAGCTTCGCTGAAAACGAAATTTCAGTGTTACCTTTAGTCTAGCTTTCCTATAATCAACGAGTTCTTGAGAACCTAGTTGCAAATAAACTATGATAAATCGTATTCCCATGTCCAAATCTTGTTAGTTTAAGCGAATTGTTTCAAAAACGATTTTTAACGGAGTGTCGCCTAGGAGCCTCTAAGGCTTATTTGGGGTGCAAAAAAAAAAAAATAAAGCACCTTTTCCACATTTAATTTCTCGAGTCTCTTTCTGTGAGTACATTTAGGAATAAGAAGTGAACAATTCACGAACGCGAATCACCTTGACACGTATAGTTTCATAAGTTAGGAAAAAATCGTAAATATTCCGCGAAATTTTCTATCTAGAAATTTAATCTAAAATGTGTTACTAATAATTTTAAAATTACCTTTGGACTCTTTGCAGAGAACGACTCCAAAAAAAACGAGAACGAAGAGTAACTTCATAATTCCCATCTCTGGCATCAGCCAAGCCAATGAAGTTCCGCCAAAGTAGCCAGAATTTATATGAATTTGTGTCGATTCACCTGTTAAGAGCACTTTTTATTCAATGGAAAAACAACTTCTTTTTATTGGCGTTGTAACGCAGTTGATAACATACGCCCCTGCATAGACTTACTTGACTTCAATAAACAATTATGAAAAGAAAAAAGGCCCCCTTTAAAGACTCCAAGCTCTTTTAAGGCTGGAGATGCGCACGCACTTATTGATTGATATCATACGCCCCTGCTTTAGTCATGATTGATAAACATTAATAAATCAAAATACCCAACTGAATAGCCTTCTCTCAAACTTTGTTTCATACGAAATTTATTGCCGAAAATGCAGTGGGTTGGAATTTGGGAGAACTCTGTCCAAAAGAATATTTTGAACTGCTAAGGTAGTTTCATGTCAACTCTTTCGCTGATGGGCATTAAAAGTGGCAAACATCATTTCCTATGACTTTAGTTTTTTGAGAAATTCTGTACCAGTATAAGAAGAGTTTCTGAAGCGAAAACCACTGACATGGTGCCTCTTTATTTTTTGTCAGCAACGTTTTTGTTTGGTTAAATGATCCCATTCTAAATCAAACTCTAATAACCGCACTCAAAATGCGTTAAACAAATGGAGTATCAGCTGAGCAGGTGATCCTGCCAACTAACTTGACGCCTTTCCCTTTTTTTTTTTTTAATTTTTTTTTTCATCTGTAGCATTTGCGATTGCTCAACTTCTTCAATGATCCCATGCTAAACCAAACTCTAATAAACGGTACTGAAAATGCGTTAAACATATGGAGCATCGGCTGATCAGCGGGCGTGAAGGGATCAATAAATTTCAACCTGTTTAGACTCCTTCACCGGACTTTTTAAGGAAGGCATAATGACCCGGTTATACGTTATTATTCTGTGCGGAGTAGCGTTGGCAGACAACCCCGAAGGTAAGCAGGGCTTTGTTGAGGATCAAGTGAAGTTCCTTAAAGTGGGGTGGGGTTGTTTCATTTTTTCTTTGTAAAATACATTTTTTTGTTATTTGTTGTTGTTTGCCGAATGCCAAATGATGGTACTGATTAATGAAGGCGCGCTGATTGGCTACTTACAGTCCGAATATCCTTTTCACGGGAATGGCGCCCGAAAGCAATGTACAGTAATCGTTGCAGGAATAAACGAGTTTTAAAAAAATCATCTTTTTTGTGCTATATTAGCTCATTACATGATATTTCCTTGAACTCATAAAGTTCTGACCTATTAAGGAAATCTTACGCTCCGAGGGTAGAGAAAATAAATGTCTTAACCCTTTGCGACATTAATTTATATCTCAAGCTCGACAGAGCAAAGCCAAGAATGCGATACGTGCAGGAATGCGAGATTGGTCTACAAGAACCTGTATCAGCTTCAGAAGGCAACGCAAAAGCGATAAAAGTTATGTGAACTTTACCTTGCTATCACAACATAAAATGACCTTTTTTCTATATTGCTGTACCTCCTAAAATAATGTTTCAATATATTCAATATACAAATTGGGCTACCAAGTGTCAGAGAAGAGAGGAAAAAAAAGTTTAACAGAGGAATTTTCTCTCCTTTAGCCGCATGATTCATGATAAGAAATTGGGGTGTCTACTTTTGGAAACTACAGCACTGGAGCGCGAGTGTAAGAAGAGTTAAGTTAAAAGAGAAACTCCCAGGTGAAGCTGTTTGCTTCGAAAAGATCGTTAGGGAGCACACGGGTCACCTTGACAATTTATTACCTTTTCATCAAAAATAGGTCTAGAAATTGAAACGATTAGAAATTAACTTTGATTTGATCTTATTTTCAATTGTTTAATTTTCCTTTTATCATATGTATTTTTGGCAGAAGCAGTATTGTGAAGGCTTGGATCAATTGATCAATTGCTAGTCAGCTTATTTTTAATTTCGTTTTCATCCATCCATGACAACATCGTTACAGACTACAGTAGTTTTAAAACATAAGCACCTGAAAATTGTAAATTGTAGTTCTAAAAGCCGAAAAACTTTTTCTTTTTAATTGCTGTTTAAAGATTGATAAAAGGTTTTCTTTGACTTCAGCTCTCAGTTGTCGTTTCTTTCGTTTTATTCCAATATTTACAGCTTTTCGTCATCTGTTGAGAGACGTGGAGGCAAGCAAGTCATCAACCTTGGTCTTAGATGCCGGATAAAGGAAACAGTTTCTCATGAGATCGATCAGTTTTACTTGATTATACGTTTTACAAGAAATAACCAATGTTAAAAAATGAGATCATTTTTCAAAAAAAAATTTTCCTAGGGAATTTGAACCTAAAGACTGATTTGAAAATGTGGATAATGTACCTTTCTTTTTTTTTTTTTTTCTACCCTTACTCCTGCTCTGTATTTGAATCATTTTAATTGTTTTAAAATCGAAATTTAAGTGATCTTAGCAGTTGGTGTAATAATTTGGGCTGTTGCAAATGATCTTATACTGGAAATGAAGGGTGATATTCCCTTCAAACATCAAAAAATGGATTTTAAAATGAAGACATTTGCATCTGCTGTGAAACAAGGGATTCAACTGAATTATTAACAGCCTCCAATTAGGAATTATGAAGTAAGTTGGCAAAATCAAGTCCATTTTTTCTCTGTTTGTCGTTTCCGCAAACGTAATGTTTATCCGCTAATCAAAAAGATGAAGTCCACTTTTAAAACGTCATCAAAACGTTATTTTAAAGATTTAGCGCATACCATATTTTTCTTTTCTAATAAGAAACCTAAACTTAAAAAAGATGCTCAAATTTAAAAAAAAAATCCAAATGGGCAACATCATTTTACAAAACAATTCAGTGATCTGGCTTCAAGAACAAAACCATGACACGCGGTTCACAAGCAGCTGCTGTATCTGTTATTGAAGAAAAAAAAAACACCTCAATTTGAGTGAAAATGCCTTTTATGAGGTTTCTCGGGGTTGAAGAGATCTTTAACCGAGAAGTAGGCTGAAAGAGAAGCAGAACTTAATTACTTCACAAGTATGCGGCCAGGTTGCAAAGAAACCTTTAGAATAGCGTCATCCGTGGTTCAATTTTTCTGCACATGTGATGAAAACTCAAACAAACTTGTATACTTACCCATTTCGGTGATAGCAAACACGAATTTCAATCCTTCTATTGAACCAATTTATTGAGAAGTTCCTATGCAAGTAAAAAAGCAGAAATTTCGAAGGCGGCTGCATGGAAGAAATACTCTCGATATCATTTACCTGCAAGGGAATCAACACTGAGGGGAATCACAAAAGACCTCGTTTTGAACCGATTTGGTTTCATCAAAGATTTTCTATCTTTTTATTTCTTTTCATTTGGGTTAGCTAGCGGTGATCTTAATTGGATGTGCTTGTATATCGTTCGTGCCAAGGAAAGAGTAGCAAAGAGGGCATTTCAATGGGATAAACTTATTTTGATCCAATTGGGAATGAAAGATGCATTTAAGGCCCTTCTAACCTATTCCAAATACATTTGTAAATAGCGTTTTACCCTGAAAACACAAATAAATATATAATTTTTTGCACTTGAAAGTGGTTGAAATTTCTTGCGTCCTCTCGGCGCAAAATTAATCTAAAAACGCTACGCGCTAGTACTAGAAATACTGGACCACAAACTTGAATTTGCACACATAAAGGATCTAATCATCACACCATAAAATGCGTAAATAGCAGTGTTGTGACCCTCTCGAGATGCCGCCTATTTTGTCTCGATTAGGGCAAAGGTTAAGCCTAACGATAAAGATAAAGTTGCCTTTTCAAGTTTATAAAAAAGATGCAGAGGCATTTCTTAAGGGAATCGTAGGCTTTTCTAGTTGATGACTTACAGTGAGAACTGAGAACGAAATGGGGAGTTACTGACAATATGATTAAAAAAATCGAATACAAATGGAATCGACGGGGAAAACGTTAAAAATTTCCTTCACTTTTTTAAAAATGCAACATCAGCTTTTTGTTTTTTTCAGATTTCAAACCTAGCCATTATTTTTAAATATTGCATGGCTACTCTCAAGTTCCTTCTTGTATCTTCATAGCCCTGTATAAGATCTACTTTGCTTGCATAGTCATCGGCCGAGCAAGATTCGATCCCTGTTATCAGGCCTGGTGTTAGATAACCTGCTACTTTGAGGTATTTCGCCTTCTTTAGTGCAGAAGCTCTGTGTGTCAAATAGACCTTAAAAGGCAGTATCAAATGATTCAAATTATAATTTAAAGTCAGGTTCAGTTTTTCACATATGTTTATTTCCCTTTGTGTCAGACTACGTAAAAGCTGTATTGCCCTTGAGCGGACCTGCAAGAGCAAACAATAATAAAAATTTAGATTTCGATCAGTTCAGCTGACATTAAGCAATTGTTGGATGACATTGAGCATGATATCATGAATGATCAGAATCGAGGACTGGCTTTGAGAAAACATGATATCATGCAAAAACTGGATTCAATAATGGTTTTATTATACACTTTTTGAAACAGTGCGCAAAATAAAACGTACGCTCCTCTCTGAGTTTGCTAGCGGTTAAGCACACTATACAAGGGATTTTTACTCTAACCAAACGTAGAACTAGACATGATAAATGCAATATCTGCAGCAGATATTGGCTTATCATGTCAATTTCACATGCTATCGTGCACTGACTGAATTCTCTCTACCAATCAGAATTTTTATATAATTCATTAACGCACCCGCATCAGCCAACGACATCTCATAAGTTCGTGCAGCACACGAAATTCGAATTCAAATCCAATAGACAGTTAATCATAATGAAAACTTTACCTTCATCAACACATGTTACACGTTTTTCGACAGTTCTTCTTTGCCCACTGTTGGTAATGGCAATAAAATTTTTGACAAGGCGCGTGGTAAGAGTCTTTGCAACCACCTCCTGAAATAATAATAATAATAATAATAATAATAATCATATGAAAATAATTTATGTTAGGCCGATAATCTCACCCATACACTTCACTATCATAAAAAGTCCAATACCATCCTAATATGGGTTTTGATGAAAAGTCTGAGTGACCACGCTCCGAAGAGGAGCTAAAAAAATCCCTGCTTCTATAGGCCGCCTTATTGCTCGTTCGATATCGCCTATGAAAGTCTGAGTACAGACTAAACGTTCTGTTGGCGATAATATCTATTGAATTCTACTCTCATTACAAACATTCGAAATTAACAAGTTGGCTGCTGCTCTTACTTCGCAACAATAGAAAAGCACTGTTTCTATCTAACAATGAAAATTTCCTTGTATTAGAAGTGGTGTTTGAATAGAAGGCAAATTACAGGTATAATATCAACCGATATTCCTTAATTTTAGCCAAGGCATAGCACGTCCCTTGACGCTTTAAAAACCTGTGCGCGTATGCCAACATTTCTGAAGGTATGAGATGGGAAAAATCAGATCACGTGGAGCGTTTAGACCAATAGCGTGCTGGGAAAAATATTTTGATGGATGACAAGAGAAGTTATTCACCTCCACCACCGCCTCCACCCCCTCCACCTCCTCCTCCCCCACCTCCGCCTCCTTGACACTCCTTCTTGTAGAGGAGGTCCATTTGCCTTGCGTCTATCGAGCTCAATCCCCGACGCTGACCAAGTGTGATCTGAAAATATAACAATACGCTACGTCTCAGAAGTTGCGGTACAAAGAACACACTGGCGTTTGAGTAAGAAGTTTGACATTCCTCACAGTGGAGTGAAAGAGAAAAAAATTACTTTCTGCAGAGAGTCAATCCATAGCCAGTTCCATTAGCCGGAGAGATGCCCACGCACTCCCTGAGCAACGTAGACCGTTGGCGATCTGGGCAATTCTCAGGTCTGTATGTAAACATCGTGACATCTGAATGCCTGTTTCACTAATTTGCTCAAGTAAGTGATATTTCAAAAAAGCCTTTTAGCAAATCACTGCTATACATACCCCTGGTCTCTTGGACACGATTGTAGGTTTTCCGTTCTTTGTGAAGGCTGTGCTCTGGTAATGCATCACGCTCCCATAGTCATACCCAGTACCCAAGGAATCGATGGTTCCACGGCCATACTTTTGAAAATTAAACTTGTTCGCTACAAGACATGCATGGAATTATAAGAAAACAACTGACAGAAATGAATAACTATAAAAAGAAATATTAAGTTAAGCAAGAAGAGAGCATTGAGTTGTTTTAGTGCGATCATCATCATTATCATTAAACATTGATTAATTCGAAGAATTTAGCCAGTATTGGGCTCCTTATTTTGCGCAGGCGGGGTGGAAGAGAGGGTGGAGGGAGATACTGAAGCCTTGAATTGATCGACACATAATTATTATCACTTCAACATTATTATCATTGTAATGATATGATGTCATCATCGTCATCTTCATCATCATTGTTATCATTATTGAGGTCTTTAAGTTATGTTGAATTAATTTGTGTGTTACTAACCTTCAATGATGTTGTCCCACATTATTGTGACGTAGTTATCCCTGTCAGGGCGAGATTGTTCGTGGAAAAATCCCAAAGCGTGACCTGCAAGACAGGAAAAAGGTCGAATCCTAAGAATCTGTGCTAATTTTCGCTAGCTGCATAGCCAGCTGCATTCTTTGAACTCTTAGAGCCCTCTTAAGTGATGCTGCGCTTCAGAATGAATTACTGTTAATTTAGAATCTCATTCCCTGAACTAGGTGCATAGCTTATAAAGAGAGATAAACGTTAATGTGCGCAGTAACATGATGTCGAGCCGACTGAGTTTCATAAAAAAGAATGTTGAGTGATGATGGTTGGGGACAAACATTATCCTCAATTTCTCTAATAGATCAGCCATTCTAAATAGCTTCTACAAACTGAGTTCGAGGTCCGCGTACTGTATTTACAGACCGAGCTTTTATCGTTCGGAATTATGGCCTAAGGGCCGTCAGCGAATCAGGTGGGCCGTCAATCTGAGAAGGGTAAAACGGGTTTCCGTAGCTTACAATGCGAATCGAGAAAACGAGGTTGGAAAGATTTTTATTAATTCTCTATATTTGAACAGAGGAGAAGATCTTAATTCAAACAACCTTTTGAATTTAGCGGGTCAAACAGTGATTAGCGATCAATCATAACGCACGTACCATAAAGTCCGTTGATAAATAGCACAATGGGTATTGAGTTTGATCAAAATAATAAATAACATTTTGCTTTCATTATGCTTGATATCAAAACGTTATTACACCAACCAATCTCATGAGCAACAATTCCTCTTGTCCAGCACCCGCTGGCCAGAGTTATATCCTGACGACCACCATTTTTTCCCACGTATGATGAGCATCTGAAAAATTGATCAAGGAAACATTTTACAAAACCTTAATTAGACTAAGGCGTTTCAAGTAAACTTTGTACATAAATTTCGTACAAACTAAAACTTTCACAACTAGTTTTCTAGTGACGCCGAATCTAAAGCTGCCTTGTATGGTATACATAAATCACAAGGCGATCCCGTGCGCGGTCCCCTGACAAAACCAACGCGAGGACGTTTAACTATGACAAAGCTATTTTTTCCTTGTTTGTGAATCTTCTCATGTCTGATATGTCACAGCTTAAGCGAAAATGAATAATAGATCAACACAATTCCGTACCCGCCGCCCTTTTTGAAGTACGCATAAGATGATCCTGCTCCTCTCTTGAACCGAATACATGTTTTGCTTGTCCATTCCTGCATCCCTGCCCTGATAGCTGCCATGGCTTGAGAATTTCCCGCTTTGAAAAAAAAAATTAAAAAAATAAAGGGGGAGTGAGACACGTTGGAAGAAATGAAAACTGCGAATATTCGAAAAGTGGGGCCGGTATGTTTTTCCTAAGGGGAGGTGTCTAGTGGTGCTTTTTTTCTTTTAAACTATACCAAACCATTCTCTGTCGCAAGGCTACCATTTAATTCAAGGGTAAATTCATTTGATGAATGAATTAGATCCCAGGAAAGTAAAGGAAGACGCAATTTCGTGCCTCCAAATATAACAACCCTTTTTTAGCTTTAAATCGTGCCCTGAACAAGAATTGTTCTTAGGTGCTCCATCTACGTAAATGCATGTTACCCTCCCCCTCCACTCCCTCGCCGCAAAGTATGATTCGCTTCTTGTGCAATGGCAACATTTGACGACTATTTACCGTAGTGAAATTGGTCAGTGGTGGATGTTTACCGACCTGTGGCAAAAAGCAGCGAGGTAACTAATCACCTACACCGAGGTGAACAGTCATTTTGGCATAAACTAAAACAGTGGGATAATATAGCATAAAAAGGACAAATTTACTCAATAATTCTTGCAACGATTATAATATATTTTGCGTGCACATCCCACACGAGTTGCTCGGGAGTGAACAGCAATAAAAGGATATTTTGAGTTTGAGTAGCCAATCAGAGCGCGCCTTAGACGCTCTCCACTGTTTTAGTGTATAGATTTTTTTTTCTTTTATTTTTCAAACTTAAAACAAATCGATATCCAAATACTTACAGAGACTGGAGTCGATCTCATAATTCATTACACCATTAGGCCACAGTTTGCTTTTGATCGAAGCTCTACCAGAAAGATTGTCTACATCCAGTCCCTTCTCGGCTGCCATACGCTGCTCGGGTGTGAAAATCATGTCTCCCTCGAAAAGGTCTGGATCGTAAACACCAACATTTTCTACGGTGGAGAGATAAATACCGATGTAACATGTGTACCGCAGGCTGGCAATTTTCTTAAAAAAAAAAATCCAAAAAACTGGACAACTAAGACCAGTAATATTACCTTGAAATACCTCCAATCTCAAAATCCATTTTTAAAAATTTCCTTGCTTTTTTTCAGTTCACATGAAACTTCGACCGTTATTTTTTTTAAGGGATAACTTTTGAGGAAAGATACTCAAACTTCTGTCGATAATGAGGTGTAATTAAAAAAAAACTTAGCTGAGTCCCACTTTCCGATTTCCTCCTGTTAATTCCCTCCATGAAATTGTTTGAATTTGACAGTGTTTTTTATTTTTATCTAACAAATAATCGCTCAGGGTGGAAATAGTTAAATTGCCGAGCCGCAAAAAAAAAAAAAAGAAAAGAAAAAAAGATGCACGAGCTCATTTTTTGCCGACTGTTTATGCAATGATCAAAGCTTTTTGGTCTATATTGAAATTTTAAGGATATGAAAATGTGAAAAAAGTATTGTTCTTTTTTTCCTTTTATACAATCAGCAATGTTGCGATGGAACCGAAACTTCGATTTTCATTCTTTTTGGCTGCTTGGTGTGATTCCGCAAGAAGGCGAATAAAGATACTCTTTTCCCGGTCAAAATATAAGCGAGCTCAACACAGCAAATGCAGATAAGCCTACCTTCGGGGTTCTCAGCCGCAACTAACGCCAGAAACAGCGCAAAAACACTCAGCCACTTCATACTGTTACCTTGAAATATGAAGTATTGGAATGGGATGAGAAAGACACCAGGTTATATTTACTATACAGTTTACTCACCTGCAGCATCGCGACGAACTGTTGTTTGCTGCAGCTTCTCTCGTTTGTCTTGCAGTGCAGGTTTCTCAGATGTTCTAACATTGCATGAGCAAAGGCAAGTCAATGCTGACAACATGGATAAACAAACTGGTGACACTTGACACTGCGACACTTTACACTGTCCGTATCATCGAGTAACTCAACTAAGATGTTTAGTCGCGCATCTGTGGTATTCTCCTGAAAGTATGTTCATTCAGGTAACTCTTACGCAAAAGACAGACAACAGGATCCATCATGCCCAGCGTCATAAGTCTGAAGACTTCCAAATTTATATCCTGTTTGATACCACTAACACGGGACTAACAACTTCTGTAAACAGATGGCATTACAGGATTCCGTTTGTGTCCATGTACGGTTTCTTTCAGTTCTGTTCTATTAGGTCCACCCGACTGAACATTATCATGCAGTTCAGGAAATAAGTGATGGTACCTTTTATGAGCCATAACCAAAAAGTGCTGCATGGTTCGCCAATGGGTCACTGGGTTACGGCTCCAAGATTATTTAGATAACCTGAAAAAATATTTTTCTTTTTTGTTGACCCAGATTGTTTAAACTTAGCTGCATACAGCTGCACTTTGCAAAATAAATGTCCAAAGACAATCCAGCGCAGCTTCAAAAATAACAGCTTGGCAATCCGGGCAGCTGTTGTCAGCTCTATTCGTCTTTTCTGTGGTCTCAGAAAAATAAACTGCTGTGAAACTTATCCTCCAATTGGATACTACATGAAACTAAAGATATATTTTTATTTTGGATACTCCAGCTTCGAAGTCTTTACTCTTTTTATCAATCATCAGTAAAGGGCTTTTAACGTTGTCTGAAATAATTGAGCAAATTCAATCTCCATTGAGAAGCCTTGGGAACGTACTTTATTACGTAACATCTGGAATAGTACAAGTCATAAATTGAGTTAGATTTAAAAGCTAACTGCCATTAATGTGCAAGATTTTAGAAAAGTCCGAAAATTAGTTTGGCAGTGTCAAAAGGATTTAACAACAGTTCACTTTTGTCACAAGCCTTGAAAACGGTCTCTTGATTCGGTGTTTTCTTCGAAAAAGCGACTATTCGAACCTCACAAAGTCACTTTCTTCTCATAAAGGTTATTTCGATTAAACACACAATTTTCTATACAGCTTTTGTATCATTATACCTCCACTTTATTTTCCTCAAAGATCTCAAACTCGCTCTAATAAAATAAAGACCATGTTAATTTAAAATAATTTAAATATATTTTCTACTTGGAACTAATCAAAAGCGAGTATTTTCCAGCCATATTTAAGGCTAAAAAATTGACCTTTAAGAAACGCTACGGCTAAATTAGAACAAATTCTAGAAAGTGGTGCACAATAAATTTAAAACCAGATTCTCGCGATAAAAATTCTAGACAAACCTTATAAAGATAAGGAAGACAAATTCAACATCGATTTAGAAACTCACTGCTTACTAAGTTTTTGGCTACTTTTAATGGATATTAGCTGTTTCAACGTCGAACTACACAACTAAACCTACTGGGAAACAAAATTTAATTCAAACCTGACCTTCCCAAATAACTTCAGTGACCGAGCCCTATTAATATACAATCACAATATCAAAATAGTCATCGAAAAAAAAAGAGAAAAAAAAAATGAGTACATTGAAACTTCCTCCAGAGTGACCTAGCCTTTGCTTCAGAAACATAATGGTTGTATGTTTGCTAAATTCACGAAATTAATTTTAAAAAATGCCTCTTGAACTATATCCAGTCACCCTACTTAACTATATCATTAGCAATTTTTCTTTTTTTTTTCAGTTTTTTTCCAGTTTTTTTCAGTTTTTTATCACTTTTTTCATAACTTTTTCCAACGTATATCATTTCCTTTAAACTTAACCGAATCAGATAACAAAGCGTAAAGGAAACCAAACCGTAAATTAACTTCTCTATTATGTATGGATTAAAAACTAAACGAGAATTTAAATCTTTAAGCTCATCGAGAAAAAAAAATCGAGGGAAAAAGGGTCCCTTAACCTAACGGTTGTCGCTTGTTACATCACCGCAGGAAACCCGAGGGATTTCTTGTTGATCTTGAGCACTGGTTACTCTAAAAGTTGATTGGATTATCTGAATTGCGCGTGTCATTAAATGTTCAGATCCTCAACGGCAGCAAGAATGGCAACATTCACTTCCATTAGATTTCTGCACAACGCTGCAAAGTTCTGGATCGGACCTGACATGACCAGGGACCCCACATTTTTCTCTGCCACGTGTTTGCAATAGAATGACACCAGACTGTCCAAGTTGTCCTCGTCCGAAATACCAAACACTTCTCCTCCAAACTTCTCCCTAAACGCTCGCAGAAGATGGATGGAACGATCAAGGTCTCTGCTGCAAAGCTTTTCTACAAGAACCTGCACAGCGGAGTCTCTTGTCAAGGGTTCAGTATTCAAGTAGTTCTTGACGAATGTGGTGTCTTCCGTCAGAGGGTGTTCGAGAACCGAGGATACCTCTCGGCGAATTTCGGTTACCTCCTGAGTTAGATCGTTTACCTGGAGACAGAAAGCATTTACAGAGGGTAAATGAAAAGGAGAGAGGGAAAAAAAAACGGAAAAAGGGAACAAGGAAAAACAGCAACAATAACGGAAAGAAGAAAACTCTTTTTGCAGCATATTTCCTGAACTCTACGATATTGTTAGTGCAAGTTGGTAGAGTACTTGACCACGCAATCAAGTATCATGTGTGTGTTTGATATCTTTATTTCAACACCTCTATTAATAATCAGTTATAAACTTTTATCAACAGTTGTCGGTTATAGAACCTACCTCAGCCTGTCGCGCAGCCTGTACCAGCGATTCCAGTAGCCGGGCGTATGTGCTACAGAAGAGTAAAAACTGAAAATGAGTCTTGTACAAGTAGCGACACAGCTGCACCTGCCTCGCTTCCTGACTGTCCGGGTCTGGAGACAGGCGAGTTTCAGGCTCCTCATGATGCGAGCCCACAGATGAACGCTTCACCGCCAGTTTCACATCATCAAGACACTCTAGCGTGCGTTCGCTCTTTTGCATGTAGCTAGAAAAATGCGAATGCAGTTCCAACACAGCGAACTTATGCCTCTCCAGTAACTTTGTTCGATTCAAGGTCTCTGTATCAATGAAAACAAAGGGACAGTCTCCTCGCGACTCTAGGAACTCTAAACAGTTTGAAAAGTGATGGGTCACATCTCGAAACTTGTCCTCCACCAGATAATTGCAGCACTCTCGTGTTAAACTGTAGAATTTTCTGCGGGTGCTCTTGTACAAGCAACAGAACATGGAGAAAGTGTTGACAGCGGTCACTCCTAGATTGTCTTTTACTATAGAGCCCACGTGCGATGTCCACAACTTCTCAGGCTCTTCACGCGAGTCCCACGTGATCTCAGTCACAGCAAACAGTTTGTAAGAATAGCTGGTTTCTGAAGCGCCAGGTAACGAATCCGAACTACAGAGAAACAGGAATAACATAATTCTTCTAGAGAAAAATGTCACAGGATACAATTTTTTAATGATTCTTTTTTAGAACCAAAGAACCTCAAATTAGACGGAACATTTTGAAGGAGCTTTCTTCTCGAAGAGATAAACTCTATTAATCGTTTTCATTTTATTCCGCCCATCAGTTGTTGTTTGCTCATGCGGTCATTGGTCCGTATTAGGGACCTTAAGCAAACCACGACGGCGACGGCAACGAGGACATGGAAAAACAATAGATTTAATTGACAGAACAATAGCTCAGCATGTGCGTTTGAAAATTTTGTGCATTTCTTAGCCGTCCCATGCAAAACAACAACGTGACATCACCACAAATTGCGTCGTCTGCAAACAGAGACCGCGACGGCAAATTATTTTAATTTCCATTTGGAACTCAACGCTTCTTTTATACGTTATGCTGAAGTTGAGGTGTGGCGCCGTATGAGACGGTGAACGCATTCAGCCATTTTTTGAAATTCTAATTAAAGTCAAAAATTCATTTTTTAACTGAAGGCGTTGCCGTCCTGACTGCTTAAGGTCCCTATTATCACTGATCGGCTGTAACCCTTATTGACTGCGGGCATCCACGCCAAATAATACATAAGCTCTTTAACCCTTACACCTCAAAGAGGGACTAGATTCTTATTTCTCCTCACAGTATCACTCTTGAATCAAATGTAAACGTCATGAGAGTAAAGGAAATGATCACCAATTTAGTGAGCATCTAATTCTCCAAAACAAATTCTCCATGTCAGTCCCAGAGGAAATGTAAAGAGGAAAGTGTGCAGATAATGAATACCAATCTTAGTACAGCGGTACAGCTCCTACATTAGCACGTTGTATTTACCTCTCTACAGATGGACTGCGGCTGTGTGTTCCAGGTTCAGGAGTCTTGGAATCGCTGTCTATGACAACGACAGTCACATTAGAAGATGACTCGGACGAACCTTCTATGACTGTCGAGTTGTCGGTTACTGCGGTCAGCGTACTACTGACTATCGAGCGACTCAACTAGAAAGAAAAAAAAAACAAAGAAAAGATCGATTATGAGCAAATGGATACGAACTTGCACCTTGACACTGTTTTATTTTAACAACTGAGTCATTTAAGACTCGTGTGTAGGTATCCAGATTAAATGCAAATCTGGTATTTCAGACGAGCTGGCGCTCTTATTCCGGGCTTGTTGGGAAGTAAGAGACCTCCAAAATTGAGACTGAAATAAGCGAGAAATGAAATTAACTTATAGAGAAAATTTATACAATACACCTTAAGCAGCACCTTCCAATTCGTAATCACATAGGGTTATCCAACCAGACGCTAATCCAACCGATGTGATGTAATTTTTACAGAAACATGAAAAATTTTAATTTTCTCATCTGTCGTAAAACAAGAGCAATGTTCACTTAAAATTTGAGAATTTAAACCATGTCCTTTCTTGAGTTCTTAGGAAAAAAAGAAAGTAAACAAAACACAACACAAGCAAAAACAAAGAGCCAAAATGTTGTCCATTTTTCTCTTAGTAGCTCTGCAATGTAAATGTTTCAACGCATACAATGTGCCTATCCCATCCCCACAAAGTACCTCGTCCTCATCATCAGAGGAGTCGTGAGGGGTGAGATCCTGCTCACTACCCGATAGACACTCTAGCGTCTGTAAATTGGACTTCAAGTCTCGATCCAAACTTCCTGTGTCCATGCTGCAATATGACAAACGACGATCCTCGTAATCAGGGCCCCACATAACGTCTTCGGCCTCGTCGTCGTACAGGAAGTCGAAATTCGTCAGAACGCTTATCTGAAAATAAACACGGACATGGGAACCATGTTAACGGCAAATCCTCAATCATGCACCTTTGCAACAGCATACTCGTCCACTAGTAAGGATGGGAACTTACGTATATACTAAGTCTTTATATCAAAATTAGTTTCTACTCCCAAACGTTTCATTAAATCTTCCCCACTTTACTATTGTTTCTTTTTGATAACCAAATACTCACACCAACAACTTGTAACAAATTAAATATTTAACTTCAAAAAAACAAACAAACAAAAAACAAATCATCAATATAACCAGAAGGAAACGTAATGGTCTGATGGTTAGCGCGCTCTACTCCCGTTCGAGAAGCCCAAGTCCAATCTAGGAACAAGTCACAGAGTTGTTTGGTACAGCAAGACATTTTCTCCTCACAGTGCCTTTCTCTATCCCAGAGTATGAATACCGGCGAACTGTCGAGGAATGAAACGGAGTGCTGCAACTTACTCCAAAGGATTAACGTCCCTTCAAGGTGGACTATAAGAACTTGTTCTCGCTTCATGCTACTGAGGCCGAGCGTGAGCCCTTTTGGCTCTTAAACTGATTGTATCATTTCTTACCAGTGCAATCACTAATCACTTACTTGTTGAGGTTCTAGTTCGTCCTTGGCTGTTTCATTAGTCAGACCTTCCGCTAAAGATGCCTCCTCAGACGACGGCTGTTGACCAGCACCTTGTTTTTCCACAGCAAGATCACTGCTCGAGCTGAATACAACTGAAGGGCTTTGCTTTAATCCTACTGTGTGACCACAAGTCGTCAGCACGTTCACGAGCCGTTCACGTGTACGCCGCTACAATGATTTAAGACACAACAACAAAAAATAGTCACTCACTCAAAAGCTGTTTTCAAGGCGCGTAACTGCACAAAAACTTTTTTTCCGGGCTCCATTTCTATCCTCTCTCTCGAGAGGATCCTGGAAACAAAAGTGGGTGTCTCACAATTTATAATTAAGTATTCGTCTTAAAACATTTTCCAGCAGCATAACATGACAACCTCATAAGTAGTTCATTATTACGAAGATTAAAAAAACTCACTTCACAAAAAGTGCTATTTTAACAATACCTTGGACCAAGTAGACAAAAAGCAGCAACTAACCTGAGAAAGATGCGGCTTTCTCCATACAGACATATCGACTGTGGCCACTGGCGAAATGAGCTTGTTCTCCTTACCAGAGTCCACTTGGGGCTCTGGAGTACTGCGCCTCCCTATGACTGGTGTGGCAGACAGGTCAAATGTGAAGTCCAGAGTCCTCCCCGGGAGGTCTTTTTTGATCATCATGGCCTCCGTTGACCAGGAGCTGTCGTATGCCGTCCACACCGAGCTGGCGGGACGTGGAGGAGGTGTATCGAGGTGGGAGGAGTGGGAAACTGCCATCTTAAGAATGTCCAGAGACTCTTTCCAGAAGTTACCCTACAATGAAAAGGAGACGATTGTGATTGCCGAAAAAATAATTACATAAGTTGAAAGCAGCTTTCTAAATTTTCAAGGTATTTCACTCTTTACATCATAATAAAACCGTGACAAGACATTGTTGCTGTTAATTTGTCATATCAGTCTTTTTCCATCATCAAGGATATTCACCTTCAGATACTTGGCTATTGTCTTGAGTGCATCATTCTGAAAGTGCCTCATGGATGGAGATGAGAAGTCCGCTAGTCGCATCACTGAACACAACATGCCCAACACAACTTGATTGTAAGCTGGGGGACCACGCTCTAGGACCTGGTGAGAAACAACACACGAATGACGGTATGAATTTGTAAAAGTATTGTTGAAAAAAAGACAGCATGTTTTGAAATTTGACACTGATTTCAGGAGACTTTATATGGGGCAACACACAACACTGACTGATTTTGCTTAAGCCATCGCTCAAAATATATATACCAACCTCTAATAGAAAGGTGACATGAGACCGAGTGAGGTGTCCATAGGAATCGTTGATGTATCTATAAACTGCATCCAGCCATGTGGATCGTGGTCTATGGTAAGATTTCCCTATGTACATCTCGAACAGTTTTCCTAAATGGGCGAGATTGCCCGAATTACCGCACACCTGAAAGATCAACATCTCTGATGAGCGATGAAGCTTCCTCTCCAAAAGATAGTGGTTATTTATCTTTATGAAATGCACAATACTAATGAGACATTCTAATTTGTCTCATGATGTAGTTACGCCTGATAACACTCCATTGGTAACTTCTTTTGGACTTAGTTGACTGACAGTTTAATTTTCTTGTACAAAGACCTAAGTTACTGGCGGAAATATAGACGACCTTCGCTTTTCCAGCAGCCCCCTTTCACACGTTGTCAATACAATGAACTGAACGCTTAAAACTTTTACTGCGTTAAATCTTTTGCCGTGAATGTTGTAGGATAGTTTTCATAGCCCTAGGTTCACACAATAGAAAGAACAACAGGATATACAAAAGCAAACATGAAAAAGAGCATTCTCAAAATCATTTTACCTGTACTATATTTTGAGCACATGTCTTGCTAAATTCATCAGGATCATCAAAATGTTCCAACATGTGTGGTAACAAAGCTAACATGTTAAGGGCAAAACCTGTCAAGAAACAAAAGTGAAGGTTAGCCTAACACACGGAACGACCCTACAAGTTTCACCTTGTCTCTATTAGAAAAGAAGACATGATCAATATAATATCTTCTCACTTATAAAACAAGTTTATCTCACCAGCAGCTTGGGACGGATCCACGAGACCCACGTTTGAGAAAACAGTCAGTTTGGCCAGCAGATGAAGAGAAGGTTCAGAAGTGGCTGCATTGGTTAGACCCTGAAATGAAAGTCACGCAATAAGAAATAAGCAATTCATTACCTTACCTTCTTAAAAGCAAACAAAGGAACAGAAGGAGACAATCAAGGCCTTAGCTGGGATATGTCGATCACACTGAAGTTATTTTTCTTTTTAAAAGAGGACTATTTGTCACCCCTGGTTTCATTCTTCCTCTTCATAATGTAAAAATTACGTAAAAACAATGGAATGGAAAGGAGAAATGAAAGTTGGCTATTTTGCATAGAAGTATTTCATACAAGTACGTGTATCAGGGATACCCTCAAAATATTATTTACTGAAAACTCCAATCGCTACGAGATTGTTATTAGTACAAGTTACCTTCAGCAGCAGTGCTTGCAGTCCTGGAAAATCGTTCCACTTGAGTCTGTGCAGAACTTTGTCGAGTTTGTCACGAGAATCGTGAAGACTTAAGTCCAAAATCGATAGCACCTATAGAAACACAAACAAAGAGAATGTAATGTAAAGGAATTCATGCACTAATGTTCATACGCCATTGAGTTTTAAAGTACTACTGAAAACCTTTGCCTTCACTCCTCTACGAAATGTCTTGCACAAAACTAATGAGACACTTCGCTTCATCAAAACCAACATTCTTCTCGCGAAAATAGTTGAATAACATCCCTCACGTCTAATCAATGATAAAAGTCTTGCAACATAAGCGAGGGGGGGGGGAGGGGGAAGGGGGGAGGAGAAGGGGGCTGTCCAGCCAAACTGGTACATTAACAAAACTCGTTTCATTAATCAGAATCGTTTGGCTGGACGAGTCAATTTCTAAAACATATTCCGTTGAGTTTTGGACAAGCAGTGCTGAAAGCTAAGTAGTACGTACATTGCCTCTCTTCTCTAATAGACTGACCTTGTTAAGTAAATGAATAGCCATTAGGAATTCATGTTCATAATCTGACTCCAGTAAAGAGACAGCGATCCAAAACACACGTGTAACCATGTCTGCCTGGCTCTGTGGATTGATGGCCTCTGACGGTGTCTTAAGGCATTGCACACTAACACTAAATCAAACACGGGCAGGAATACAAAAAAAATTAGATAGATATCAGAGTGGCGGCAAATGGAACCGACAAAGCGTGAAGCACACATAACTTTCTTTTTTTTTAACTAACCATCTCACGGAAGCAAAACATCGTCTCTTCTCTCGGTCTACCGGCGTACTAAACACTTACTAAGCACGTAGTTAGCGCACATTTTGGGAGAATACGAGGAAGCTAGTAAGACTGTTCTCACCTTCTTGTTCGGATGAGATTAGGGTCATCTCTGTTGCCGTTGAGGCGTCCAAACTGACTGAACAAGGACGAATGTCTCTTGAATTCACAACCACTACTCAGGGAACGTATGTGCCCGCCATGTCTCATCCTGGTCAGCGGACTGATTGAACCGACGCTTGCACTTATTATATGAAGATTGTATTCATCGATGCTATCTTCCTTTTCGTCTTCAAAGTGGAACCCAAGCCCCTGCTCCAAACCACTTCTGTTTGGGTGGTCTGTCATGGCCCAATCAGATGCTGTCTCAAGGGTCAAAAGGATCTCCATGACATAGCCCTAGATAGGTAGAGAAAAGAGAACGGTAACTTTGACTCTGCCTAATGTCATCATTGCACGATAATGTAAATTGGCCACCGTAAAGATTTTCAAAGGCAGACTTTTCAGGTGTTCGCTCTGACGAAGAGCTAACGCTCGAGTCATCAGCTTTAGAAACTCTTTACGATGGCCAATTTACCATATTATCGAGTGATACCCCTCACCGACACAGCACCACAGTTCCGTTAGAAACTTACGCCCTTTATTCTACTGTTTTTGCGCTGAGTCACGTTGTTATGTTGAACTACGAACGTTAGGTTACGTTGCCTTACGTTGCATTGTTTTACGTTACGTTGTGTTGCGTTGTGTTGTGTTGTGTATTGTTTTTTACCGAGACACAAAACTCTCACAGTCCCATTTTCCACCCAGGAAAATGAAATCGGTACCGGGGAACTGTTCGAAAAGCTATGACAACCGGAATAAGCTTCAGAAGTAATGGACTCCTGCTGTACTCATAAGACACCACCCAACCCAAACAATCAAATCCACTCACCTGAACATCTTCACTGCTATCACCAACAGACTCTACCAGCCTGGAGAGGACATCAGAGAGCATGGACCAGGAGAGAGGAACCTTCAGAGCACGGAACACTTGGAAGGACCTGCCAGCATAGTGCCTTGATGAGCACGAGGTGGCCCATTGAAGAGCCACCTTAGCCATGGCTTCTTGCACTTTGCTGCCCGAATCAGATGCTTGGAAAATTTGCACAACTGATGCAACGAACAATTCCAGCTGTTCGGCGCTTTTGATTTTGTATGAACGAGGCGTGATCTCTTCAAAGGCCCAGAGAGGCTTACAGTCACTGCAAGAATAGAAGGAAATGAGTAAATAACTTGGTAAGTGCCATGTTCTTTGTAAGGGAGTTAAGTTGGGTTTACAAAAAGTATGTTCATGGAACACTTGTCATCAGCGTGGGACAAAGAAGAAAGCTGATCAGTCCTCAACAAGGAATCGAACCTCAGAAAAATCCGATTTCGCAAATAAATGTTTTACCAAAAGGGTAAAGAGAACCAGACCCACAAAATGTCTAGGATGAGCAACGTCCGTGAAATCTTGTGTAAGGAGAGAGTAACAAAGAAGGTTAAATCTGAGAACGACCAATTCTCAAATAGGGTTGCACGGATTCTTTTAAAGGAAATTGCACGAAGCTCTGTGAGAAGTAAGATACAGTTGCGGTATAGAGCTTTCTTCACCTGTTTGCAAGAAATTCAATGAGTTCTTGGATCTGTTCCACAAGTCTGTTGGCACTGTTTTCCTCCGGAGGTAATGCTATATTCAGAGAGCTACTGCCAGCAGCAGACCTATATTGAAACAGCGGCCAAATTGTTCACAAAACTCTAATTACAAAGCGACAAGTACCGACTCAAGACTTATGAATGGCGTTGTAAAAATTAAATAGCACTTATTGGATATGTGGAGTAGGTTAACCTTTATAAAGCAAAAAAGGGACCACAATTCACATCCTGACCCTTGCTTCTGACTGAAAACTTTGAATTCAGCAAAGTTTAAACCAAACTTTATTATTCCTAATAAATAATGTCGACTGTATTAGAAGACTGACAGTGTACTTTAACATTTTGCGGCTTATCCCCGGCCGCCATTTTACAAGAGGGCCTAAAAAGCACGGTAGGCGTGGTAGAGTATCAGGATTTTAAGAGCCCACAGCTCCAAAACGGTAATTATACGAAACTCACTCAGAGAGGCTAGTGCCTGCACTAGCTGCATTACTCTGCACCGAAGAACCACCTTGCCTGTCGCACTCCGCACCAGTCCCAGCGCCCGCACCAGGACCAGGCACACCAACAAAATTACCAACATCCAGCGTCCACGAAGACTTCAACAGGCCATGTTTACCAAGACCTTGTTCAGACACGGTGATGAAGTTGAAGAGCGATTGTGCCAAAGAGACGTGGTCGCCCCGACACACCAGAACTATAATGAGATTGACCAACAATCTCTTGCTGTGTTCGTAAACCAAGGCCTTGCCGTGATCCAAAGCTTTAGAAAAACAAATGTTTTTAAGGTCAAAAAACATTGGTTCAGCAAATGTAACTCTCGAAAGAAGCAATAACAACCAAGATGGAAAAACGATGAAGGTTAGGAGATTAAAACATATTACAAGTGATAGACTTGAACTGTAAAGGCTAAAATTTCCATTTCGCTCGACGGTTTGCTAGATATGAGAGTTTGAGACCTACTGTAACATGATATTTATGGCAAAGAATTCAATAACCTTTTAGGAGATAAATGTTCTAATTTTCATTCACTGTTTGTCAAACGTGATGAAATGGAGAGCAAAATTTTCAAGTTTCTCCCTTTTAGAACTGATGTAACATGGTTAACCCTTCATCCCTTCAGAGTGACTGGCATCTAACTTCTCCTTACAATATTACTACTGAATCACACCTTAAGGTCATGAGAATAAAGGAAATGATCACCATCTGAAGAAGCTCTTGATTATTAAACAAATTATCCTTGTTACCTCCTTGGGAAATGTATCGAAGAAAGTATGGAGAAGATACATACAGATGCTAGGGTGTAAAGAGTTAACCAATACGGATAAGTTCGATCGGTAAACTTGCCATCTGGAAAATGACAACGTACATTGTGGTTCTGTAAAATCGCCAAGACTTACCAAGAAAAATGACATGCAACATGAGAGGCAGATGTTCTTCCCAATCAACAGAAGCTTGGTCAAGAACTAACTCCGCAAGCAGCATGAGAGCAAAGTTACATCTGAAAACAAGATGAAATATTATGACTACGGTAAAATTAAATAAGAAAATCATTGAAAGGAAATGAAGATGCAATTTTGAAAATTTGATAGCGTGGTTATTACGTAACAAACTCGTCAGCCCTCACAGAAATGAAATCCTGAAAAAAATTCCTAATCACTTGGTTTTATCAACTGGGCCGATAATGTAAATTGGCCACACCAAAGAGTTTCTAAAGCTAACGATGCGAGCGTTAGCCCTTCGTCAGTGCTAGCTTGATTCATCTCAGTTGATAAAATCAAACTTTCTTGTTATACCCCACTGACGCAGCACGAAACTTTATTTTAAAAAACTTACGCCCTTTATTCAAATGAATCAAAACTTCAGGCTTCTTGAATTTCTGGCATTTCAAAGTTACAACATGGACGTTGTGGGATCGAAACGTACCTGTATAGAGAAGCTACGGAAGGTGCAAACGGCAGAATGTCAATAAGAGGAGCGAAGAATTTCTCTCCTTCAGGGACTGGTAACGAAAGAGTCAAACCAGAATTAACAAGCCTGTGCGCCATGATCATCCACTCTTGTGCCCAGGCCCCCTCAGGTTTATCTTCCTCTTCAATCTGATCAACCTCTTCGGGCTCCGCCAGTGGTACAGCCGAATCCAGTGCATCTGGTGCAAGAGTGGCGAACGATTAATAAAACATCATATGTGCCTAGGCTAGGATGAAAACGCGGTGGTGCACTCGATTCCGGACAAAACATGCTCGTCGAAAGACATAATGAAGGCGACGAAAGAACTGATGATCTTAACGAGAGTTCCAATATTAAAAGGCGTAAAAATGAGAGATTCAATGGATACTCAAAATTGGTTTTAAAAAATATTAAAAGGCTATACAAAAAAACCCAGATATCTATTAGTTGGCAATCTCAGCCCTCGACTGAAAACTCCCAACCTCTTAAATTGCTCCGGATTTTAATCTTGAGAACCTCATAACGAGAATTAACCCTTTAACTCCCATAATTGACCAGAGAGAATTTCTCCTCAAAGAACCAATTCAATATCAAGCAGAAAAATGATGAGAATAAAGGAAAAAACCGATTAGGGGATAATTAGCTGATCCAATACTAAATTCTCTGAACTAACACTATAAGAATTGTATAGTTGACAGCAAAGAGAATTACAAATTTGATCATGAACCCACCATTCTCCAAAGTCCTTGGAAGAGAATCGCCTTTTTCCTTCTTGTCATCCTTCCCCTCGCGTCTTTCTTCTCTCGACTCCTTTCTCTCGTCTCTTGACGTCCTTCTTGACAGTTCATCGTCTGTTTTTGTTTCTTCTTTAGTAACTTTCGCTTGCGACGTCGTCTCTTCTCGCGCCAGTGACCTGGACTCCTCTCCTGTCGAACCCTCGATGACTGAGTCCCGACTAGATGACGTCTTTTGCAGAGGACGGAAAAATGGCGCATCGTCGCACCGCTCAAATTGTGAGGCCACTGTTTCTGTGAGCTACGGACAAAAATATGCTGTTACGTTCTTGTTCAAAATGTGCAAGAAATCATCACATCAAATAAAGCAACGAGACGATACAAAATCGAAGTAGGTGAAACTCAATCGTCCTCTGATTCACGTCGTAAAAGAAAGTGACATTTCGTTGTTGTACAAGACGAAAACCAGAGAACACACAAAACGATCCGTGAAACAAGGACGAAAGTCAAACATTCATTTGAAATAGAAGGTTCGGTGACCAAAACTGGGATACAGCAGCGGTATGAGAGCGCTTTCAGCACCCAGCCAGTCATATTGTGAAATACGCCTTTGAACATGGCTTTCTAACCTTGCAGGATTAATTTTATTGACTATGGAAGTAAGAGACGAAGGATACAAAAATAATTCCCCGTGTGCTTAGTTTGGAAGGAATAGTACGGTTGAGAGAGAGCCTTTTTAAAGAGCGAAAAAGCATTGAGCTACTGCTTTGGAACCAACTAAGAATGCACCTATACAGTGCAAATTTATCCCACTAAAAAGATATTGATTCTCAAACCTTAAGCTCCTCCATAAGTTCCTCGACAGTTTTCTGTTTTCTTGCACGGGCCACATACACAGCTAGCTTCTTTGCCTAAAAAAAAGTAATAAAAATTAATGTAAAACATTACATCAGAGACCAAAAGCTACAGGGCTCAGCCACCTTTCAACAGCGGAAAAGCCGCGAAATTTACTGTTTTAAAGAACATTTCTATCTCGTTTCGAGAATCAAAACCAATGTTACTAAAACGACTACTTGCAAAGGTATATATCACAAGGAGCCCATGGGAATCAAAGTAACAGCAAGCAAATTGCAAAGGTCTGAGGTTCGACATCTCAAGGGATCTAAGAATGTTTCTCTTTGTCTTACGCTCGTGTCAAGAGAAAAGAAAAACCTCCTTCTTTAGCTTAAGATTTCATTGTTTTGGGCCGAGATCAGATTGTTTGAATTAGCCTATAATTCTGTACAGTTTCTGTTCTGCACTCTGATCGGTTTTTTTAGAGTTTAGGTGGCCGAGGTTACCGTAGATGCACAGTAAATGATCACTTACGTGAATAAGTACTTCTGAACTACCAATAATACCAGCCAGAGCTATAAGATAACCCAAGATCTCATGGATATTATTCTCCCATCGGCTGCACAAACTGCCCCAGGCCTCCTCGATCTCTTTAGAGAATATCTCGTCATACTGTTGAAATAAGTTAACGTGAAGTGAGACACTGGATAAATTTATACTCAAATATGTGTGCTTCAACAGTAGACATTAGACTATACTTCGCCTATTCTTTCACCTGTTCCTACAGTTAAAAGGCTGACAAAACAAATGTGGGTGGCTCCGCTAGCAGCGAGAATGAAGCGTGCGTGCTCTAATTGGCTACGCAAGGGACACCTATCTTACTCTCACAGATTTGTCCATTAGGTTCCAAAACAAAAAACAAAAAATACACGAGGCCGGCTTTCGTTTATTCAATAGATCCTTTGTTCAGAAAGAGGAAAGGACCCATAGGCTTGATCTTTTTCAGTCACAAGGTTCATAAAAGGAAAAACAACCTAACTATCCAGTCATCTTAAGCTCAGGATTGATCAATTATTCCAGTCATTCTGCATGCACAAGAAGTTACTAGCGAGCGAAGGTTTCCTTCTGTTTGGAAAGGAGCCTCTACATGTACCTTGTCATGAAATGCCAATATAAATTAAAAGCTAAAACCCAGTCGCACTTACCTTGACAGTGATGTAGAATAGATTGTTAAGTACCAGCTGAGTAGCTTCGACGGACCCCCACCCCTCCCCCTCTAGTTTGACTGGCGACATAGCATCAGTTTCTTCTTCTTCTTCTTCCGTCTCTATGTTCAACTCAGGGGGAGTGGGAAAGGAATTGGACAAGTCTACCAATTCAACATTTGCTAACCAAGGTAGCATGTATTGCAGTATACACCGCTGACCTATTGAGGATGTCATCTCGAAGCGCGCGGTCATCTCTGTTAAGAGAGAGAAGAGAACGAGAGAGTCCTTCTGATGAACTTGTTTCAGAACAGCGAACTGTCAATTCTGAATATCATCGATTATAGCGGAGCTCGCAGCACGGACGAAGCGCGCAGGCACCAAAGCCTCATACTGGGAACATTTGGTAACCCTTTGTCTTTCAGCCGTTTGTGCATTAGCCGTGAACAAAACATTTTTTACTGCTTTCTTGCAGGGTCCACCTCCACGTTTCAAAACCGTCTGTCCTTCAGTTCCTGATGTTGATTGCCATCCGCAGTAACAGTGTATTTAGTGTTTCCGATCACTTGCATATTAGTTGTAGCCAAGAAAATGAGGGGAAAAAGGGAGAAATATAACATAAAGTCTGCTGAACATACCTTCAAACATATGGATGGTGATTTCCGGGTGAGCTGTGGCCAGCGCTTGAGATAATGTCCTCTGGCATTGTGAGTAGGAGCAGCGGAATGCACATGACAAGCTCGGTGTTGTAAACGGGAAGAAACGTCTAAAAGATTTCAAGCAAAGTCATTTCAATTGACGAAAAAACAAAAATTAACAAATTGTAAAGCTGTTCTTTGCCTTACTTCAGTGACACAGCTCGGCACGACAGTTTAAATTCCACAATAACACTGCAATAGAGCTCTACCTCTCTAGAAGCTGAAGTAGTTGTGCCGCCTTTTCTCGGATGTCCAGTGAAGAATCAGCAGTTTTGAACAACACCACATTCAGAATGGGAATCATTTCACACGGATATTCACTGTTAACCAACGGAGACAAATAGATCACCATTAAAAAAGAAGGACTGAAAAATAATCCACTATGAGAGTAAGCAATAGGAAACGAACAAGTAGTAAGGGATTAAACTGCCTTTATTAATTCCTTGTATGCGCCATCCTCCCAAACACGTTTGCAAAAAGGGAAAAACAGTTCAGTCACCTCTTGGTAAACACAGAAACAAGTGCCTTGAAGCAACCGCTGACCACCAGCCTGGCACCCATGTAACACTTGTCTATCACCCAGTAAAGGAGTGAAGGGATGTTGGCATTGTTCTCAAGCAGGCTAACCAGTGTATCATGTCCCAACTGATGGATCTGAAGAGAAAATTGCATTTTTTATAATACAGTGGAAAACAGTCAATCTACTTCAGCAAGCATCAGGAATAATTAATTTTGGTACTCTAGAGCATTAAAGTGCACACCTTCGCCCTTCTCGTGACTTCCAAGCTTTTACAGAATACAGATCTGATTTTATTGGACTTCTTGGACGTAACTAGCGTTTTTTATAGAAGTTAAACGAAAACAAGTGCTGTCCAGCCGCTATTGAAGAAACCCACCCACTTCCCTCAATTCTTTCCGTTCCGAGCCTCGCTGCTCATTTTCGGGGCTACTTCGTAATCTAGATACACTTTAAGTGCGGCATTACTTGGCAGATAGCTTCATTATTGACTTCCTGTTGCTGTTTGTTTTCCCAACCCAAAACTGTAACACGAAGAATGTAAAATCGAGAAGAGAATTCGGCAGACAGACCCTGCTTTCCCCTCTAAATACGGTTACACTGAAAAACGAATATATCGCACGGTGTTGTGACAACAACACTGCAAATAAAGAAATAAATAAAGTAACCGCCATAAATACCCACCCTCTCTTTCGGAGAATTCAGCACAGTTTGTAACCAGTTGTAGAGATAACCGCCAGTGGAAAGACCATTAGGATCAAATGCAGGACCACATTGTAACAAGCCACACATGGCCTAACGGATACAAAAAAATAAAAGGAAAAAAAAAATACTTTTCATAGTCTCCTTTGCAGTCTCGTATGGATGCAAGGATCTAACGTTTAAAGAATGACAAACTACATGTACTGAGATACTTTTAGCACCCTATGTACAAGCCTTAAGAGGTACTGTATTTCTTACATGAAGAGAAGCCAGCTCCAAATCATTGCTTTGTGCGCTTGAAATGAGCGGAGTTCTACAAAAGCAATTTAAACAAACCCAGTTAACAACCAAACTTCATAAACTGAAAAGGAAAGTCAAGCAAAATAAATGAAAGAGGGCTAAATTTGAAATCATTGAAACTTCTTGGAAATAAAAAGTTTACTTTTCAAGTCCGAGGCCTTTGACTCCAAAATGGGCACACCAACTGCTAAACAGGAAAAACAGGTTACAGCGCATGTCATCTGGCAGAAGATTCCTCCGAAGGGAAGCTGTCAAAACAATTAAACGGGTCACCATCAGGTGCAGGAGAAGAAAATAAAATGTTTTAGCTCTCCATTATTGGAGAGCAATGGTGCAGTAGATATTATAAAAAAAAATAGGCTTTTTACTGAGCATGACAGCAGCATATTCAAGTTACGCTTAACTGCGACAGGATTGTCATGAAAAGCGAACAAATGAAATTGGTGAACAGTTTGACTTACCAGGCACGGAGGTGATCATTTTGTAAATAAAGTTTGCAAAGTGAAGTCGAAGCTGCATAATGGCGGGCATGTCTTTGTCACTTTCACTTTCGAGGTACAACCTGATGACAATAAACACGAAGTTACAATTGAAAAATGTGAATAACGTCAGATCTTTACAAGAGTTTCATACTTAGCACAAAGTTATAAGTTCGGTGTCGCCATAAAGCCATACATTTGAAATGATCTTTGCAGAAAATGAATCCCAAGGATTTCTAGTTATCCTAAAATTCCTCCAACAATCATTTATTTCCTTTGTCTCGCTTGGTGACAGGTGTGGAAAACTCGCACTATCCAAACGACGAATCATTCAAACCAATCACAACTTGGTCTCTAGCCTAATTCCATGCTTCAAGCTATCTGCAGGTTTGAAATTTATACTTTCATTCGTGGTGACACCTCATGATAGTTTCCTTTGTTATGGAAGGCTGTTGAGGTAATTTTTGGTTATGGTTTCAGGACAATCAAATGAAAAGCACTCCTACGGTTACTGCTCGTACGCCGTGTTCTGGCGGATGAAATACCTCGTTCCGTCGATATAATCAATAAACGTTGCACAGAGTCCATCTTCCGTCACCAGCTCACTTGCGCTAAGTAAACAAAAAGAACAGAATAAATGGACGCCATTACTAACAAGTCCATAACATACCACGTAATGACGAAGCCAGTTTAAAAATTTAAGGTTCATGAAAGAGAAACACCAGCATTCCCCGTACAACAGTGATTCACATGCATTCAATTTAGTCAACAACTTCTCTACGTTCATTCTTTACGCAAGGCACTCTCCACTCGTGCAGGACCCTCGTTACATCAAAGTTTCCACTACATTTGAAGATCAACCCGTTAAATCACAGACGTAAAAACCAACGTGTCATTCAGGAAACAGATCAAGAAAGACGGTAAGCATTATGGAATGATGCAATTTTGATACCACACTGTGTATAACCCATTTCACTGGGAAATGCTACGCTGTCAAACGGAAATTGTTTTGATATTTTTGCAAATGGAGGATCACCTAAGAAAGAAAAAAAGGTTCTCTGAACGTAGGAAGATGAATGTGGTAACAAACCTATCCTGGAAACAACCATGTTCAGCATTGAACTCAAATATCCTGACCAGATATGCTCGCAATACGTCTCGCTTTCTCCTCCGTCTAACACCCTGTGATGATAAAATCAGGTGTGTAAATAAATCTACATGTGACAAAGATCTTGCCTACTGTCGAGGTTTCGCTTCAATCTACTTCAGTAATGTAGAAAATTAGCAGAATTATTAAAAAGCCGAGGATATTCATTACTACTTACATCAGGAAGATTATAAAGAAACCTTCAAATCAAACTCAAGATGAAGGCGATTCTTATTCAGACAATCTAATAATGCTAAACAGGTTAAGAAACATTCACCTCTGCCCTACGGTCCAAAGCTTCTCGTAGAAGAAAAAGGAGTTCTTCAAGTAACTCTCTACAAAACACAAATAGACAAGTTACTAACATAAACACATTGAGTGGTAATGTTTGAGCATATTTCTTTCTTTGGTTTGAATTTTACCTAAAAGAACTTGGGCTCGTCCTTCCAAGACCCACAATGACAGCCTCCCTGATATCAGAGCAGTCACTTTTCAGTAAAGGTACAGCAAATCTGAACAAACTGTCCACCATATTTGGAGATGGAGGCTGAAAGGTATAAAACCGAAAACTAAGAATTCTCCCTCACACTCTTGTTATGTGTGCTAAACAATTTTTCTGGCATCTTTCCAACCTCATTTACGGACAGAACACGCAAGACATTTTTTGACCCTGCATCTTTCAAACATGCACGACGCTTGCCGCATAGGAACCCACTACAGATATGGCTTGATTTTCCAAAGATTCTCAGAAGCTCAGTTGGTCGTGCATCGGACCTCTAAATCACACCTGGTTTAGGTTTGAATCTATGAGAGAAACTCGATCTTTACAAGCTCGTGTTCAACTTTTTACACCTGGGAGTTGAAATGATTTGAAACGAAATTTATTGAGTAAGTCCGTGTCTCAATTTATATATTTTTTTTCCAATAAAACAATCTCGTAAGGGGTAGAATCGTTAGCTACTTTAACAACAAGTTTGTTCTTAAGCCAAACATGATACTAAATTGCTTTCTTTCAAACAACGGTAATCAATGCTTCGTCGATTGTAGAATCAGAACACCAGGACAACTTACCCTGGAATCACCTCTCGTTTCCGAGCCTTCTGATGAAGTTCTGCAATACACAATATAAGATAGACTTAAGTTTCATATCATCAAGCTCCTCCATTCATTCAACAGTGGTAAAAAATGATGAAAAATGTTAGAAAAAGGGAAAATGTCACAGCTAAAATCTACATAATATTCCTCGAAATTTATCAAACTGAAATTCTATAGAAGAACCGTTCTCGATATATTAATTTCCATCCCTAGTCATCCGATATTTCACAAAATTCACGTTTTAAAACCCATGGGCAGGTTACTCACAGGAGGTCTAACCTAAACCGCGGTTTTACGCAAGCAGTGGATCTTAGATTTTCTCTACGAGTGGGTTGATTTAATTTTAATTAATTTTTGTTTAAAAATAAAGGTCCTTCCACCGCGAGCTTTCGGCCCTCTCAACATTGTTCAAAATCTCAGTGGGCTAGAAAAAGAGCCAATTGCTCGCTTAAGAACTCAATTGTTTCCAGAGAGCGAAGAGGCGGCGCCTTCTTCATCGGAGAAGGCGCTTTCTAAAGCAAGTCAGTACAGTAAAGTTACAGTTAAACTAACCCTCCATCGTGCTCCGACGAGTCGCTCCTTAGGGGGAGGGACCGCGGATAAGCACAACAAGCGAATATAAGGTAATTTCTAAACAGGCACACATGGCTCGTGTTCATGGTCTTCTTTGGTCCTCTGCTATAAACAGAAGACAGACTGGTGATGGAATCTATCCCTGATGCCCTATAAACAGAACAAAAATATTATCAATTGAACATGTCATTCGGAAAGACCTTCACATAATTTTGAAAGATTCCATTTGACCTGAAATACAGATGACGTAAAATGTGGTAAGAACGAAAAAAAGGGTAGCTTAAATATCACTGATGTTCTTCCCACATTTTAGCGTCTTTGTGATCTCCTTCTGAACGGACAAATGGCAAAATGGAATAAATTTGTTTAAGCAGTGGAGAGAAGCGCAAAATGAAGAAAGTTTATCATCTGGCCTTTTAGTACTCGACTGTTCGAACGAAATGTTTCTATTTAGGTTTTAGTCGAGAAGCTAGGAATTATTTTTCTTTCCTTCGCTCGTCAAGACCTTCCAGTACTTTCCTTTTTAGCACGTTTCGCTTCTTGAATAAGGAAAATTCCAGCAACCATTTCCACAAATGCGTGCCATATTGGACAAACATAGAAAACAATCTTTGTATGACGTCAAACGTGTGTGTCTGAACTCCGATAGATCGAAGACAATTACCAATCAAAACGTGCCGTGAGTTAGTACGATAAAGAACCGATTCTTACCCTGAGTCAATTAGCGAATAAACAGTGAGAAGTCGACTGAAGACGTTTGGCCAACAAAACTGCAGAGCAGAAGGACTCAATTCAGGAAGGTACCACTTGTTCAGAAGACCTGCCATAAGTGAGGACCAGAAGAAACTGTGTAATGAAATATTCAGCTGCTCTCCTGTCTCTTTGTCCATGTTACCTGACAGCCGCTCATTCACAACCATAATGTCAACATTGCCAATTGGCCCAGTGAAGAGCTAAAACAACAACATACTTCTGATTTAACTTTGTAATCCCCAGAGCGATATGCACGTAACTTCTACTCACAGAATCAATACATTACATTAAAGATGAGTATGAAGCTCAAAGAATTTACTTGCTTGAAAACTGCGAAAGGTAACTGATAAAGTGCTTTGGCCGAGAAAACATGCCGCGTCATACCAACCAACCATATTTCATAGACTAAAAAAGTTAGACACTGAAATCCAAAACAACGCAGTAGGAGACAGAAGGGCCACCCACCTTCTCACTCTGAGGTATGGAATGCAGAACCTTCTCAAGTACTGTTGGAAAAACTTGATCTATTACATCGAGCACTAGTTTGTCAGATTTTTCCTTGAAGAAAATAAAAATTGAGGTCAGTTAAGCTATCCTTTTAGTTGTTTATCAATGGAAAGAGTAATTGTTTGATAAACAAAGAGCTTCCACTAATTTTACCTTGTCGGTGAGGTCCATCAAACTGCTTAGTGTCCGCACTTCTTTCAGAACAAGAAAGGCAAGTCTCCGTATGATAGGATGTATACTATATACAGATACAAATACGAAAAGGAAAAGAGTTATAAACATTTTAAGACCACAACAGAAATAAAGCAAAATGATGAAAAAGCATATTATGCGCAGATCTACTCGAAGCTTCAACATTCCCCCCGGACAACCCCCCGCGCATTTGAACTTTTCAAGATTGGCTTGTTCAAATTCCTACCCCCAGGGGGGGGGGCAAAAATTGCGTTCAAAGGTCCAACCCAATTTTTTTCTAAAAGAAAAAATCAGCGACCGTGACTATCTTCACCGCCATGGACTGAGCTTTAAGCTTTGACTAAGCTTGACCTTGTAGACCTTTTCTCCCGGGTCATTCTATCGCGAAAGTGAACTGTTTACATTAAACAACTCTATATTTAAAGATATTACCCTAGTGCTCATCTGGAAAGACTTTAAACTTATGGTTCACACTCCCCACCCAAACCAGGGGAGGTTTGAATTTCCCACCCTCCCCAGGTACGGACGACGGGGATGTTGAAGATTCAAGTCGTTCGACGTAATGTTTTATCCACAAAAAAGGTTCATTTAGTGCGTAACACACCTGCAGAGCATAACAAGAGCAAACCCCTCCACATTATGAAGCACAGTTATTCGGTCAACTTCTTTATCACATGGCAAACTGTGAGCAGATAATTCCAGCTGAGCATCCTGTGTAGACTGACAAAAAAAAAATGCATGTTACACGCTAACTCTCGAACGCATACTCTGTAAAGTTTTAGTGCGGTCATCGCAAACGCTGAAAAGAGAGCGAAAAACATGTCAGCCAACGGTCGCAGCACAAGCGTAGGTTTCTTGTATTTTCAGTCGAGGGTACACACGCGGACCCACGCGAGAGATGAGTCAAACGCGCGAGAAGAAAAGCGCGAAACGCCCTGCTTTTCTTTTAATTTGCTTGCCTTGGTAATGCAATTGGCTTAGAAAACTAACACCTCTCATCCCATTGGATTCGGCGGAGCTAGAAGAATCAAGACGTGGTCACTCGCTTGTCAGAAAGTTTGCTTGTTCTCACTTTGAGTTCTCATTGGCTCGCTGTGATCTTTTCCTGTTTTCCGATTGGTGGTTGTGATTATTTCAGTTTTGGTTCATGACATTCAATTAATAAGCAGAGTGGGGAGTTAAAATGGGAACATCGCAACCCACCTTAGAATCCTCTGGACCAGCAGAGACTACAGTCTTCCAGTGAGCCAGCAGCTGCAACAACATACGCATAGCACTGTCCAGCAGTGATGGCAGGTTGTCTTGGATCTCACGTAGAATAAAGTTGATATACCCTGAAATATGTACAAGTAAATAAATCGAAACTCGTTTTTACCTGGAATTCATTCTGAATGTATACACCAGTATCATCACCTTACCTAAAATAGTAGTTTCTCTCCAGTCTGCAAAGTCAAGCAGGAGGGATTGAAGAGAAGACAGGGCCAGCCTGGATTTGAACAAATGCGCTGATCAGAACTATATCAGTGAAGCCTATTATACTTAAATCTCACCAACTGAACGCCATTCCATTCCTTTAGCCAATATCATTACAGTAGAAATTACGAACAATTTCAACTCAACAGTCTTTCGCTAAGTGTCATGTGACTGTGACAAAAACTTCGCAACATCCGAACGTCATTCGCCATCACTGAGAGCAGACCTTTTCGGAGCAATCCTCGATAAAAAAAAGTCGCATTACATAGTGCACAAGTACATCATCCTCTCTTACCCTCTCAATTCTTCATCCATGTGAACAGTGAGACGTGAAAGAAGATCTACTAGGTCCACTTTAGTCATACCTTCTGGAATACACCTGTAGGTTTAAAAATTAATGTCGACATCAATCTCAAATGCACTTGTGACGGCTATTACAAAAGTGTAATTATTGTTTTTAAGCATCAGTTTGGTTCATCACTAGAACCAGAGATAGAACGGAAATAAATTTCATGCTAGATACCTTGGAATGGCAGCAATACAAGTCCTGAACAGCTCAACTTTTGGATCAACCTTTGGTTTTCGTTCTCCTCTGTACAAGACAAAATTAAAGTAAACAAATATGACAAGGAGAGATAGAGACGGAAAATCAAAACGAAAAATAATGAGTTTGTCCTGATAACAATTGACTTAATCTCTTCACAAAGAACACTAACGTGGCAATATCTTCAGGCTCCTTGTGAGAACAATGTGGATTTGTCATCATCAAAGGCCTGCCAATCTGTGCATCTAAGGATCTTATGATACTATCCAGAGCTTTACGGATGCTATCAAGAAAGAAATTTTAATAATATAAAAGGTTAGGTGTGCACAATAAACTATTTTTCCAAACTTTAAAAAGAATCTGTATTGTTGGTTCAAAGCCACATTGAGGAGTATACGGGGACAGTATGAGACAGAGCCAATCAGGTTACAGGATTTTGTACCACGAGGTACAAATCAACCAATCCAATGACAATCAATTTTTCAAACATACCCGTGGTAATAGTTAGCCAGTCCAATACTGCTAGCTTGACTTTCTGTCAAATTTTTCATAGAGGCTACTCTTCGCACTCTGACAGTGCTACCAGATGGAAAAGGAGCAGTGGATGTCGGCATTGCTGGCGCCTCTATGCCCTTTCATAAATGACAATAGTTGACAAGTTTTTAAGGTCTTACATTTTTCTCCAGTAGCTATTAAACGATATAAAAGGGAAGAAAATAATACGTCAAATAACGTCTCACTTGTGTACTACCTGAACATTTAGACTCTAATGGTCTTCACAGTGCAAGAGAAAACAATTCTGAACGTTTCCAAAGGCTGAAGATATATTCTTTTCAAATTCCCAGTGCTTTGTGGCATATTCTTCCAAGAACAGCTAAACCAAACTTAAACCGAGTTACCATTTACACTGAACAGTTTTAGTGCTAATGGTTCAATATTTTCTTTACTACTGTTACAAACTAAAAACCCTTACCTTTCTTTGAAGACTATCAGCAATGACAAAAAATGCACGAAGACCAATGTTCATTCTCTGAAACAACGAAGAAAAAAATCTGTTACATCACCACTGAAAGCTAAACGCAAGCAAAAGAATCGCACACTAAATACCGTTAGTAAACTGGTTTAAATTATACCTCAGGACTTATTGCCCGGCCTGTTCTGTTAACACTCAGCAAATCAAAGACTATGTCATTCATGGCAAAGTCGAGCTTTTCCTAGTAGATAAAAAGACATCAAAAGAAAGATTAACTCTATTGGAAAGCTTCATTTGTTGAAAAAAAATAGCTTTGAGCAGAGTGTGCTCTATCAAAGATGAGTTTGAAGCTCTTCTACAGCTCACAATACTAAAATCGTTTAGTAAAGTAGCGTTTAATAATGCAGTGTACAATTACATCAACGAACCATGTAGTAACTTCTTTCCTTTGATAAATGTTACGAATTTATCAAAATTTCTCCTCCAAGGCATCCAGACCGAGGTGAGTCAGTCTGCGGAACTTCCCTTTGCCAGCAGGATTCAAAACTCTGGCTCGAAATCGAGGAAAGTGATCACTCAATCTACAATGGTGCCCAACTTGAAATCGCACAGAATCCAGAAGAAGCAACACAAATAGATTGCGTTCCTCTTACGTCGAACAAAATGAATCATTACAAAACTTTTTTAACTGAACAAGAAACTGAAGGACTAATCCTGTCAAAAACTGTGTTATCGCATGAAATTGGCGGGTAAACATTTGCAGAAAGAAACAGCCACGTGTAAGTGCTATTTATCATCAAGTGAAACTTCACCTGAGCTATGAACTGAATAATCTTGACAAAGTAGTTCATGGGAGCTTCTCTCGGCACGACACCACGGGAACCACGAGGAAAGAGCACATCTGTGATACTTCGCAGCCGGCTAATGAAAGCAAACACAGACCTTAGTTTGGGCACCAAGAATATCAGCTATTATTACATGTACATGGCTACTACCTCGGTCCAATATTATGAGCAAACAGACGTTGATGCTCATTATCAAATGGCTACTGCATGTAGAAGAACCATTTATCTCGCACAGTACGTCAGGAAAAATGCTTCAATATTTGAAAAAAAACAAAAAACAGAAGATAAACAGTAATAAAAATGACCAACCTCACTGTTGCTGTGTTACTTTCTCCCTTGATTCTGATCATGTAGACCCTACAAAACAACAACGCAGCCTATTATAAGATTTGTCGTGAAATTTCCACAGAAACACGGTGTTTCTTACTCAGCCACAAAGTGCAAGAGCCCCTCCTTTTGAATAAGCAATGTACATGTATGTTCTGTACAATATAGGGACTCAGCGATTATCATTCATTTTCATTGGTTAAACAGTGATTTAAATGATTCAAATCCTACAAATAACCTTTCATAAAGCAAAAGGCTTCAAGGTAGATACGATCAAAAGATAATGTACTCACCAGACCAATCTGTACAAGCATTCCATCGCTACTTTCTGCATCTTTACGTCTCTCTGCTGCAAATCAGGAAGAAAAAAAGATGAGCGCAAAAACAGAAAAGTGTGATGCAAACCCCTTTGACACCAAAGTAATTCTTCTGTTTGAATTCTTCATCTTAGGTAAAATTACCCCTGAACTAAATGATCCATCATTCCTTATGTAGTCACAAACATTTATGCCAAGAAAAGATCTACCTTTCCAATACCTTAATGTCTGTGAGTACACTTCATAAAAACAACAAACTGTGTTCTAGAGCCAAACAGTACGACAACAAGTACCTTCAGAGTTCCCAGACACATGCTAAGGAAGCTTGGCCAGCTACTGAGGAAGAAAGCTTTTTGACTGACACAGAGTAAAACAGTGACAAGTGGATAGATAGCCTGAAAGAAAAAAAAATGTGCTTGGACCAAGTAATTTTTTTAATGGCACTTCCACAATGAGTTTGATACAAAAATGTGTAAAAAAACAATAATAATAATAAATTAGTACTGAGCACACAATTAGCTCAAGTAACTCAAGTTTTTCCAGTGACTGTAAAACCTTACATCATTTCATCTTTAGCCAGAGCTTCCCCAAAGGTATAATATTGATCAAAAATTCACTTGAAGGGAGAGGGGTGAGGAGGGGGGATGGGTGGGGAGGAAATGCACAGTGTGCTCAATTTAAGCAAAAATTCTTCATGGTGGTGACACTTGGAGTACAAGGTTGCTATTGGAATTCTTTACTTGCTTAACAGCCAGAGGTCACCTGGTCATATATTTCAAATTACTGCTTCTGTGGTACTTGGTCTTAAAATGTTCTAGGGTAGATTACCCTGCAATGGTTGTAACCTCACCTGACTGTGTCTTGTTTTCTTGGTAAGATCAAAAGTATGATGATACATGGTGTCTACAAAGCTCTTCAGAGCTGGTACATTCAGCTCTCTGTTGGCACCTGCTGCCACAGGAAGAAGGATCTCCACAAACATAGAGGCAAAAGCATGTTTCACTTCTTTGTCTCTGGAGTCCACAAACAATGTTGCACAATCCTAAAAAAATGCCACAAAAAAGATAAAATTGACATTATGATAGCTTTCTTGCACGATCATTCTGCAAAAAATACCTAGTCCATGAGAAAACTCAAAGACAGTGACCCAGTGAAATAACAGAACAGATGATTAACCCTTTAACCCAAGAGTGACCAACATCATTTTTCTCCTTACAATATCTACCATGAATCAAACATTAAGGTCATGAGAGTAAAGGACATGATCATCAACGAAAGAGGCTCTTGATTTTTTTAAACAACTTCTCCTTACCAGCACCTTAAGAAATGTATGATGAACAGTAAGGAGAATATGCATACTGATATTTGAGTGTAAAGGGTTAAATGTAAACTCTGTTGTCCCACCACTAATCAAATCCTTAATCCCAGAAAATTAAAATTAACTTTGAAAAATTTCTACCATTCTCTAAGTGGTTATGCAAACAACTGTACCTACCCTCATAAAATTGAAAGACTCTTCCAACTCCTCAACTGGATATAACTAAGAGACACAAAATTTCACACTTTTTAATTCAACTTTCTTTTTTTAGGTGACCATGAAAAAAAATTAAAAATGCACAGTGCCCACAGATCAAATTTCCTCTAAATTGCCATTTGGCAAACCTACTGCATCTGTACCTTTACTTTAAAAAACAAAAAACATTGCCAGAAGTAAAACTTTAGACTCCAGTAAAATTTAAAGTTAGGGAAAAGTAAAAACCACATTAGTGCAAGATCTGAAATAAACAATACAACCAGCAATCATGTTTACATCAAAAACATTTTCCCTCCATATTGTGGCTGATAAATGTCGCAGCTTTTTGAACCAGGGTAACACAAAAAACCCACCACAACTATAGTGTGCTCGAAATTAATTTGTATCAAAATAATAAAAAAAAAGTGTACAAACCTTAATTCTTAAATACTTCATTCCATAAATAATATTCACGAATACTGAAGGATTGTTCTGGTACTCCTTAAACTCAGCCACAAATCTCTTCTTGACAGACAAAAAGCAGGCTTGTGCCAACACACCAAGCACCTCAGCATACAGAGCAGCAATAATTTCTCCATTGGCAGCTGTTGGGGAGGCAGAGTAGCTGTCTCTTTGTTTAAAGTGTCTGAATGCCAGCGACAAAATGTACTGCACATACCCATCATCCACTGGATGAACTGGCAACTAGATAAAAACAATTTTGGTTAAAACTATTATAACCGCTGCAACTATTTTTTATTAGCCTGAATCAAATGCAATCTTTTCCCCCACATATAGGAGTTACTTCTGGTTGCTGCAAGCTATAGAAATTGTAATAATTGGAGCTGTCTCATCAAACATGCTGATGTGCATGTGGAACCTACTTGTGTGTATTACATTTAATGATTATATAAGTTCCTCCATTAATCACATCATCTCTCATTATCTTTTAACCATGCACTCACCTGTTTTAGGACCTCAATAAGAACTAAACAAAACAAGAAGTCCACCGCAAGCTGAAAAAAAAAATTGTTAGAACATAACTTACAATAAATATGAATTTGAATGCACACAAGTTTCTTCTAAAAGATTATCAAGCTCCATAACATTCCTTTGTTACTTACATCCCTTCTTTCTGTGAGGTGATCTTTACCGATATAAAACTTGCTCTGGAGCTTTGGAGATTCACTGCCACTAATGCAACAAAGCACAAAGCAGTCAGTTTTACAGTGTAGCCCTAGAAAGTCATGTATAGGGATATGCAGTGAAAACTGAAAAATAATTATCAATTCATACTTTACCCCTTTGGTTTGGAGATGTTGGCCTTGCCTTTATGGCCATCAGTTTCCAACTCACCAGTCTTGATTTGCTGACGACAATGAAAAAAATTCACTCCATGTTACTCAATACTGGAAATGTGTGTAATTATAATAAGCTAAATTTTACACACAGTTTTCTAAGTTCTTACTTATGATCTACCAGAAGATAGGGGCATAGAGGATGTCACCATAAACAACATCTCACTTCCTTCATAAATATAATATAAAATAAATAGATTCTACATTGTATGTTGCCATGCATCTGATGGGAACATGTAACTGATCATTAGAGCTACATGTGCTATTGATGAATGTCAAAATGTGGTGAGAATTTTAGAAATACGCTCAACTGCCACCCACAGGCCACTTTTATGTTTTTACCAAATTTTTTCCTCATTTATGATCTCACACTTAACCCTTTAACTCCCATGAGTGACCAAGACAGATTTTCTCCATACAACATCAATACAATATCAACCAGATAAGTGATGAGAATAAAGAAAAATAGAAATTTGGGGATAATTATCTGAACCAACATTATAAGAATTGTATCATTGACAATAGGGAAAATGACAAATTTAATCTGGGAGTTAATGGGTTTACAGACATATGGAATCCGTTTGTTACACTGCTGTTGATAGCCACTATTATTGTAACCATTAGTTCCTACGGAGCTGATCATCATTTTATCACTCACTCAGTGCTAGAGCATTGCAGCAAGAATTACTGGTGTTTAGGGATTTTTACCTTGTGTCACACTGACGAGATAAAAAATATATTTCGTAAAGTTCTTACCTGCTTTTCATACCACTTGAATAATGTTTTCAAGAGAGAAGGGAGACTAAATTCTGCCACACTATTGAGAGAATTTAGCAGCTGAAAGAACAAAAACAGTCTCAGTCAAATCATTACATTCAGCACTAAATTAGGTCTATATAGTAGAATCCCCATTTTAAAAACTCTCAGTTTCTCAAAACTACTCTTACTGTATTTGTTTGATTAAGTGTCCTAGGGCCCATTTCTTGAAAGTCCTGGTAACTAGGCAGGTCCAAAGCCACAGAAGAAGGTTCTATCACCTACCCCATTTTGGGTCTTTTTTAACAGGGGAGGGGGGGGGGGGAAGAGAAGAGGGGGAAAACCTTTTAGAGTTGAGCTCTTCATTAAGGGTCTTCCTGTATGACTACATGAGATCATGATTGTTTTGTTGTTATACCTGGTCAAATTGAGCATCTTCACCTCTTTGAAGAGACTTTGACAGTGGTCTCTCCTGTGATCATAAGAAAAAAAATTACATGGGTCAAAAGTACAGTCCAGTCCTGCTGGACCTCACGTCCACTTTTCACTGACATAACAATCAACGGGGCAAGAAATATTTGCTTGAGATATGACATAAAAATATTACAGAAAGACTTCTGACTGAAATTAAGCAAAGGTTCCAGAATCATTATTACACCCCTCAGTTAGAAGGTGCACTATGATTAGTACAGCCTGTTAAATTCAAAACCACTTCACTCATTTTCACAGTCCTTACTGTACATTATGGAACCTCACTTATTCTGCTCTGATTTATGGATGAAAAAACTTGGTCCATAACTTACAGTACAAACCTCTACCTTGGTTACTAAAAGGTCTTTATGACACCATTAACAAGAAAAGGATAATTACTCTAAGAGAAGAGAAGACCTTGTAAAGTTGAATAAATTAACATTAGGCATAAAACAAAGACTTCCATAAAAATAGAATCAATTTGCATATCAAAATTCAGAAAAAGCATCTATCTGCCTCTCTCACTCTTCCTTATCAAAAAAACAAAAGGAGGGGGTTCTCAACTACTGGACAGTCCCAAATTTAAATGAGAAAATTTACTCTATTTTTACTAAAATTGTTGTTTTCCTCTTCAATTTAACTCTTCCATCTCCTTGTTATCTGGGATTAAATCACCATTCCCTAGATAATCTCTTGATAATGGCGTCATATATATACTAACAACACATTATCAAGATTTTAGTAAAAAATTTACCACACAAAATAACCAAATAACAAGCTTAACAGAAAAGAAAGTGGAAAAAAACACTACTAGTAGTAAGATGAGGTAAACAAACTAAACAATACAGGCAGTCAAGAACCAATGGATAAATAACACAGAATTAATAAGGAATGCACTATGATGAACGTGTCTCTGCCTAGCATAACAAAATGTCAGAATGTTCTTGCTTTTTTCACTTGGAATTATCTCGATCCTTTTAAAGTCAAACATCTATTTAGTGATTCTTCCCTCTAGCTATAACAAATTTCCTTGTGACAAATATATCACAACTTGGCTTTACAGCTGTACATCAAGACTAAAACCTTTCCATGATAGTTGAAGAGTGTCAATTCCCATAACCATCTTGCTGGATTATGAATTGATATTTTACAGAGAAGTGGCATGTTCAAGATTTATGCATACATAATATTACAAATAATCTTTTCTACAGTTTCCTCAACTCTCTCAGAAATAACTAACAATAATTTTCTGCCACAAAGGGGCCACAAAAGTTTTATGTGGTGTGTGATTCATCCAAGTATTATGTGAGGAGTCAATTTTTACAGAAAGGCAGGGTAAGGTGAGATTTAAAGTTTTCCCTTTTTAGTTTGAAGGGCATAGAATACTGTTTACTGTGACCCATTTTTTTTTTTTTAATTTGGGCATAAAACAAGATCATGAGTTTCCTCCTTCTGGCCACCCTCTCAGAGGTAAAGCTGCGTAAGCTATATCTTACCTAGGAGACAAACACTTGCTCTTCCTAAACTTTAACATAGCTAATTAACATTAAAACCAAGGTCATTTGATCAAAAGACAAAATGATTATCACCATGATAACCTCTTGTTTACATAAAAAATCTGGAGATAATCATCAAATGCCCATTAAGGAATTCAGTTTGGGGCATCAAGATTCATTTGCACATTACAACTTCCTATGAATTATTACAACCACTCAAACAGTTAATCATGACGAGAGATGATGATTCCACCATTGAAACGACTCATAAATATGCTTATTGTCGCGTTCGCAGGTCTACTATCAGTCACTTAACAGCTCTCTTCAAAAGACACAGACATGACATGCCTGAATAAGGAGTAACGGTAGGAGTTAGTTAAAACGGTGGAAGAAAATACTCCAAGAAAGGGGTTCTTCAAAGAATGGTTACTCAAGCATGCAAACGCAGCCATGTAGTACATTCATAAAGATCAGGCCACCTAGAGACACAATAAGCTCAATAAACAAATGAAACAATAGCTACTTCCTCAGCTCATGTCAGGAGACCACAACATGTGATCTTCAAAACACGTTTGCAAGAAAACGACTGGGGTTGCATTCCAGAAGTTGTGAGCGACAGAAAAGGATTTAGAGGGAAATATATCTCAGCGGGTGTGATCGATGACAACTGAAAGTTGTAATGATCACATTCTCTCGTCCTAGATACGCTTTCGACGTAACACTCCGACAAATATTTCAAAATTAATCGAAACTCCCAAGCGTGTGGTCTAAAATGGAGATTCGTTCTGCATCAGTAGACTGTTTACACAATGCTTCACAAACAAATCTTATTTACACCGAAATTACGGAATAAAAACATTTTGTCAGACAAATCAAAGAGATTGCGTTTGACAGCGTACAGGGTTACTACAAAAATACCGCCTCCGGTTTTATAAATAACTCCCGCGCAATGATACTTTTCGCCTTCAAATTACCCCGAAAATAGACAGTTCATTTTCACCGTCTGGAAATTATGCATTGTTTCTCGTGGTAGGCATTTTATCGTCACCGTAAGATACTAAATAAATCAACATTTTTGGCTGAAAAAAGAAACCGCATTTCTTACAAAAAGTGTTTCTTTATTATCGGGTAAATTGGAACACATCAATTATTCCAAAATCGGACACAAGATACGGTCAAAAATTGTAAACAAACCTCGCAAGTAGGAGGTAAGGATATTTTTATCGTCCACATCATCGAGAAATCACTGTCACTCACTAATCTTTCCCGAAGCCCGCTCTCGCCAAAACTATGGATCGAAAATAAATATTTATGTAAAGGCTTACCAAAGGTTCGGTCAGAATAGTTTCGATCTTTTTCTCGGCAAGATCAGTGAAGTCTTTGAATAAATGTCTCAGGACAAATTCGCCGGGAGTGACATCAGATGCAGCAGCGGTTGTCTGCCGCTCTGGTGGCTGTCCCCACGGAAGAACAAGCCCGTTTTCTGAAGCGGTGGAGGTTCTGACATCTTCTACAACATGAGAATTACAGCTTAAGCTTAGTAATTAATCACAGGGATTCGACGAGTTGAGGCAAACCTTTTAAGTCAGACGGCGATGTCGACAATATCGTTGAGACCGGTCGATCATCGTTGAATGAAAATTGAAACAAAATCTTGAGTACAGTTATCATGATTAAGCAAAAGCTATGTAAAAACTCCTTGTACAATTTTTGGCTCATACGAATATGTTATTATGCCATAGCCCCAGCAGCTACAGTTCAAACTAAACAACACTTCAGGAAAGTACACCAAAGTGATATTTTTCTCACTGAATGATCACAGTGTCTGCTTTCCATAAAACAACAAATCTTTGCCTACCTCGATTATTAGTTTCAGCCATTTTGTTTAGGAGTCCATCTTCTCTTCATGGCGTTTTTTAGATCGATGTCTCCTGAAACATACAGCCTCTAGTTTAACAAACATTGGATGTTCAAAGTTCGATGACGATTTCTGAAGAATATCGAAGGGCCAGTTCACAGGTGCGACAGATTTTCCGTGATAAATTAATCTAGCGTTTCCATTCGCTCAGTTTCTAGCAATATACAGGATATTCCTTCAGTGTATCGTAGCAATAACAAAATGTAGCACCAAAAAGATTCGAAGATCATACAAAAACTTCTTGAACAACTAGAAAAATATAAAATTTTGACTGTAAGAGGAAGCTTCAAATTTTGACGCATGCGTTCGAGGCATAAACAGTGGAGTGACTCTGTCTCCACCAATCACATGTTGGACTGCGAAAACACACTGCTTCCTTTTTACTCTATTTCCGGTTCATTTCATTTGCAAGTTAAGAGCGCTTTACACATTTCAAGTACCATTCTGTTTGTACAGCAGTTTCTATGCGATTTTCGAATCAAAAACATATATTCTAGCTTAAAACACAACTGAATGAATATGTCTCCAGAAGAATCAGAAGACAACTTGTCCTTCACTAATTTTGAAGCATAAAGCACTTTGGTTGGCCTTGCGTAATATCCATTTTAAGCTTAGTTCCTACTTGTGATCAATGTCACGTCCCGTTTGAACTGTCAGGGGTTAAAATGCGGCTTCAAACGTTTTATTTTGTTATAGATTGCGATGAAAGTAAGCTGAAATGAAATGTAAAATATTGCCACTTCATCGAAGCGTTTCACTTCTTTTGTATGTGAAAATCTTTTGAATTTGATCAAATGTGGCGTTACTTGCGTTACTTCAGCATTTGATCAACCAAAACACGCGCTCAGCGATGAATTTATTTGTTTTTGTCATTTGCATGCGTTCCTTATAAGGCAGATACGATAGTCAATCGCTGAAAATTAGCAAAACGTTATGGTTGTTCTGTTGTATCTAGGCTATTTTTCAAATAAAAAAACATGTATTCTAGCTTAAACAACGACCAAATGAATGACACTTCAGAAGAATCGGAACACAACTCATCCGTCTCTGATTTCAAGAAAATCGGTTGTCCTTGCGTCATGTCTTTTTTAAGTTTAGTTCCTAGTTGTGATCAATATTGCAATCACGTTTGAACCGTCAGAAGTTAAATACGGCTTCAAATATTTTATTTTGCATTAATCACAATTAACATAAGCTGAAATGCAGTGTAAAATATTACTTCTTCATCGAAGCGACACGCTCTTTTGTGTTTGAAAATCTTTTGAATTTGATCAAAGGGGCTTTACTCGCGTGATTTTAGTATTTCCTTTTTCATTTGTAAGCTTCCTCAGGAGGCAGAAACGGGACAACAATACTGAAAATTAGAAAAACGTGTTTTGTCCATCCACTTCGTAGTTACCATAGCATGAAAAATATTTTGCTTTTGATATCGCAGACAAGTGACAACCTTGTCGTAGCTCTTCCGGAGCGTGCCACGATGTTCGCCATTTCTTGTATATATTTTTTTCACAAACTGTGCCAATTGTAAAGAACAGTACAGTAAAACTTCCTTGATAAAATAAAAATTGTATATCATCCGATAACGAGTTTTAAATTGAAAAGATATTCGTAAATAAGTCACATTCGAAAAATGTACTTTCAGTACTTCTCTTACACTTGTAACAATACTTTCATTCGACGTCAGCAAATCGGCGATTTCAAATATTACACGCCGATTCATAACAGCTACAGTGCAAAGCTACAGTCACGAAAAAATGTTAACGTACACAAGCGAGAGGGTTTGCCCATGCCGTCTTGACAAGTCGCATCAAGTTCGCGATATCCTTCCCTCAAAGAGAGACGTAAATCGATCAAATGTGCTTTTAAAAAGTTTTTAACAGGAGGGAACCTGTAACTTGAAATACCGAATCTAGACTTAGGTCGAAAAATGTATACACGCCATGTTTCTCATAAAGTGAGTCTTTCAGTCAAGAGTTTCTATAAGCTAGGCCATAGCAACTTGCTACCTAATAATTAATAAGCGGAGGAAAAGGTATTAAGTAATTAAACTTGTACAATTGTCTATTATTCTTCTCGTGGCCGTTTTGGTCTGATTTCTTTTTCGTTCAGATGCAGTATTTCCCTTTGTTTTGCCCCTGACAATAATAATTCATATCAACGGTTGGCGAGGGCATTTTAGACAATTTGATTTGTACGTAAGTGCTATTTCCGTTCAAACTTAGAAGTCTTGACCTTATGTGGGAATGTTTGTTACCCAAACAAATTGCTGCTAATGGAAAGTGACGTCATTCGAGGAAAAATTGACATCAGGAGCCAAAACAGGAAGGATGTGCGTTGTATTGAACGCTACCTGAGAAACACACGTTTGCGGAGATAGAACAGGAATAGGCGAAAAGAAATCCAACTTTCAGTGGTATTGTACTAGAATAACTAGAGGACTTGTAGCAAAGGAAACGAGAAAGAAAATACGGCCAGTATTCGTAGGATCTGTAAAAGATCTGAAAATCTTTGTATGTAGAGCCCCAAACGTATTGGCTTCAGTGGTCTTTTGAAAGGCTAATTATTTCCCCTTTGCATGTCTTTGGCTGGGTAACCAAAACTGAGCCGATTGTTGGCTAACTAGCCTTACGAATTTAAAAATGCATTGCAAAATTAACACTGTCAAGGAGTTTCTTACCGTCTCAAACAGGAAAATGAAAATGTACTTTAGTATTATTCTTTCTCAAAGTTGTCGTCAGCTAAGATCGGACCAGATCTTCACTCCTGGCTAAACTTACCAAATTTTATTCCTGACAAATGCGCTGCAATTCTTATTGATTACCCCTCCCAAAAAGGGCAACAAATCAGGGGGGTATCACTTAATGTGCGATGAACCCCAACATCTCCCCCCCCCAAAGTTTCAAAACACTGCACTGTTCAGTTTTGTACATAAACACTGTTAGGATTGCGAAGAGGTTTGCTTGTTAAATTTTGCTTACATTTTTGGATCGAGGTTTGAGTAGATGTACTGGCGTCGCAATGATTTTCAAGCGTCAAGCACTTTGGTTGACTTTATGTCATGTCCATTGCAAGTCTAATTCCTATTTTTTGATCAATATCGCAGTCGCAGTCAGTCCCCACCCCACCCCACCCCACCCCACATTTCCCTAGGTACGTCATATTCGGAGAATTATAGGACATTATATGCATGTAAAGTAAAGGACATAATATGTATTGGGGATGATAATTCCCCCTACAGAACGTACTTACCCACATTTCACAATACTCCTCTGACTGTGTACATAGAAATACGTTTTCATGGAGGGTTGCTCATTAATTAACTCTTTAACTCCCAAGATCTGATTGTTAATCTCCCTTCTGGCTGCTACACGTTTCCTTGTAAATTAATTACAAGAATGTGGAGTAAGATGGAAATAACAACTTTTACCTGATAAGTTTGAGTTTTCTCATTACCTGCTTGCTGGATAATGTATGGATATTATAGGGAGACGTTACATGCTAATCACTTCCGGGAGTTAAAGGTTTCATGGCAAAGAACACCACATGTTATATTCACACACGAACTCACTTTATTGATAAAAGAAGTACAGGAATGAAAACATTCAAATTTTTAAAGCTTTTATAGCTTTAAAATCACACAAATTTTTCCTTATCAAATTCAGAGAAAAAAAGAGAAAAATGATGACCATTGTTGGCGAAAAATACACGGTCTTGTTCTCCACCAAAAGCGTTTTGAGAGAAGATTTAACTTCATTGCATTTAAGATTGAAACAAAAAAATCAAATTCCAACCCCCTAAAAATATCATTAACATATTTGCGGGCTTAGAAGAAGACAGTCAATACCGAAATTTTATGAAATTGATTCAACGGCAATACTATGAGAAAACGGAACTTCAACTGACGTCATAAAAAATTAATAAGTATACCCTATGCATGCTTTATACCCCCTAACTTCAGGTGCTAAACTGAATTCTTCTGATCTACGTCGCCAAACAGCATCTAAACTAACATGTGAAAATAAAAGTTACTGAATTACTCAAATAAGTGGGTGAGTGATAATGAGCCAAGGAACGCTGGAAACCAAGAAGGGAGCTGTAGCTTATTACTTTTAGAGTATGACAATTTTGTATTCACAGTACTCAACAGCTTCAGGCTCAAATCAGATCAACATTTCTCAAAACCCTACAGTTCACGGCGTTCTTGATATCATGAAGTCCTCCGCACGTTACTCTCCTCTCCATCTAAAAATCAGCGATCTCCAACCGGCCGCTTGCACACTGCAGGCGCCACTCCGAAATAGCAGCGCGTAAGTTCCCAAACTCTTTCGTCACGGCTGACGATTGCACAAATGTCATCATGATTTCCCCGATACCGACCGTAATAATCTGAAATAGGCCACGATTCCGCCAGATTGAAAAGAGGATCCTTTCCATCTAACAATTTCCATTCTCTATATCCACGCTCTCTGTAGCTATACCTCATCCCAAGCCATGCACTAGGAACCAAATCCTTTACGAATTCGTTTTCCTCTCTAGAGTTGATGACCAGGACGTCTGCATCCAACTTTTCGCAAACTGACACTGCTTCTGTAAGGCTGTGGACTTCCCGTTCTTCATCATAATTGTAACAGAAACCGTCAAACTCTGTCCAACCATCAGGACATACATCTGAAAGACCCAATGGAAAATGTTTTGTTACTAAGCCGACCGCGCGGCCTGGAAAAAAAATGGTGCATCACTCTTATTCTGATCTGGCCTTGCATACCGCCCGGGCGGGTGTGAATCTAAGAGACCACTCGATTCATTGTCCACGAAGGCAGTTTTTTTAAATTACTACTTGTTCGTTATCTTATGATGGCCCTCTCTCTATGGCAACGGGGGGGATTTTTCCCAAACTTACACCTTACGGACGCCAAAATGGCCGATTGAAGAGTTCTTTCAAAAGAAGATCGCAAAGTTATGTACGAGCCATATGTTAGAGATTTTACTCACTGAATGGTTAACGCAATTCAACGAACCCGTTTTTCGTTATTACCATTTGCTTTCTATACACCTCTGGATCGGCTGACACGAGAAGGCCTCTCCTGCAGTGGCTAAACTTGTTATACGAGAAAACCCAAATAGCTCTCAGGTTTAGTACAGGAGCAATCTTACAATGCTTGTTGGCACTCCCTGTTGATCTCACACGACCGAAGTACCCGAGGATTGTTTCAGTGTGGTCTTTAGTGTGTTATTCAATGGTAACGCTTTTCGCCTTCCTTAAAATGTTGGAATCTCGATGACAGGCCGATAAACTACTCGAATTCAATATGAAAGTCCATTAACATTGTCACGAACTCTTTTCCTATCATTGAAACAAGTTGTTTCGCCCTGAAGACCAGTTATGACCCAAGAGGTCCAAGCTAGGAGACTAAATACGCCGTACAGCCCTTCATCCCAGAAGTAAGACTTCCTAAAATATTTCTGGATTCAACGTCATCAGTTCAGGGAATAACGCTGCATCTGCCTCAAGTATTGCGTGAATAATATTGGAAAGAGCAAAGGCGTAGGATTGTAACTCAAACGATGCAATATTTGTGACACAGGCTTGTTGATTTCCACATCCTTCTCGGACTTTGGAAACAGGATTAAGCCAAAAACACCTAAAAACTACTACTATCCAAATATGGCTTATACATGATGGGTTTAGTCTCGTGGACATTTTGCTGTTTTTATGATCTATATTTCTTACCAATTTCACATGTTTCTCCACCAAATCCTGAAGCACAAGAACACGAGAAACGACCCAGATTCTGAGGATCCTCCTCGCAAGTTCCTCCATTTTTACACGGACTTGATTCGCATGGATGAGCAGCTGAAAATTAAATGGAACAAAAAAGACGTTTGGCTGATTTCAACAAGAATATAAAACTATAACTGTACGTTATAGCTATATATAAAAAAAACCGCCGATTCTAAGGATAGAGTAACATTCGAACCTTACCTCATTTGAGCATGCAACAACGTGCAGGTTTACAATTCCTTCAAGACTGACTGCTCTCCTTATGGAGCATGAACTATATGAGCAGATCGATTGAGACCAAAGGAGGACGGGAAGCGACAAAGAGTGCATGAGCCGTAATTCAAACGTCAACAATTCAATATATTTGTTTTCTCTCCACGTTCGCGGACCGTAAGACTAAAACAGACAACAGGTGGTCCAGATTCTCTCACTTTTAATGATGGTCTAGAACAAAATTTAAGGATGAAGCTCTTTGTGTAGGTTCAGTAATAAAAGAGGCCGGACGGATAAGTGTAACGGCTAAGTTCAATTAACATTTGTCCAAAACACTATAGGAGATTGCACCGAACAAATTGAGACTTCCTAAATGCTTTCATGAAATATCCTGTTTTGTATCCTAATGGGATGGAAAGGAGAGTAGTCTGCGTTAATTTATCGAGGGTTAGAAGTCAGCATTATTATTTGACACAATGTATAAAGGATAAGTTTATGGATTAACCTATGATAGACTAATTATAGCGGAAAAGACCGATAAACAGACCTATCTCACAATGATCGCCCCGGTAATCTTCTGTACATTGGCAGTCATATTTCTCATCCCCTAGATCTTTGCATGTTCCTCCATTCCTGCACGGATTTTTCTGGCAGCCTCCTAAAAAATTTATAACATCTCAGAAAATTGCAGTAAAAATTGTTTGCTCAATCAGAAATCATTTGGTCAAAAAGCCAATACATTGATCAATTGACAAAGCTCACTTGGGACACATGTTCCGTCCTTCTCTCTGAATCCTTCAGGACAGGTCTCGATACATTCTCCAGTATCAACTCGTTCTAGATACAAACATGCGTTGCAATCCGTTGGCAGTGGTTCTCCACTAGAAGTACTCCTGCAACCTAAGGAGAAAAGACAAACGTCTTGTCCATTCGACAACAATCCTGCAACTGGTTTTGCTTCAGAGTTAGGAAAGATCAGTCATTCTGTAAGGGAGAAATGAAGCAGCGAATAATTTTACCTTTTAAGGGGTCACACATCTCGTGACACTTCTGAACGCATGTATTGGTTCCTTCGTCTTTTGATGTGTCTCCCTTGCATTCCGCTTTGGTAAAGCTGCGCTTAAGTACATGGGCGTCAGTGATTTCCAATGCGTCCTCTCCATTTCCAAACGCATAAAATCGTACGTGAAGGTTCGGCTTCTCTTTGTCGATCATGGATAGGTAGATCTCTCCCTTCTCAGTGGTGCCTTGACTTTTCCCGTATTCTATGACAGTGGCATCTGGTTCTTGTTTGACACAAACAAAATATGGCTGGTACAAGATTTCATCTCCCAATCCAACTGCATCGACATCCACACTTGACACTTTCAGAGCCTGTGACTGTAAATAGATTGCAAAATTGAACGAACAGCCGGCTGATGACTAGAATACTTTTAGGAGTGAATGTGCCTTCTTTGATCGTTGCTTCAGTTACTAACTATGAAATTTATATTCTAAGCATCAGTACGTATGTATGCAACAAAATTCAAGCCATTTCACATTACCGATGTCTAAGAATTTGTAATTCTTTCCTCTCTTTAAATGCTGCTCGTTGCTCTTTCAGACTAAAATCCTCAAAAAGGAGGAGCACACTCAATGATAAACATCCTAGTTATATTTACACTTTACCTTAAAGATTCCAACCCCATGAGGAGAAATCTGCACATAGTACCAAGTGTCTTTGTCCTTAGGAATGACAGAAAAGATGACAAAAACTGTGCCTTTAGTTGAAGCGGTAAAATGGAGACATTTTCCTCCCTGACCAGGGTCAAACCTTAGAGCATTTGACCATTTCACGTTGCATGGCAAATAACCAACTACCTCCTGCATTTGAAATATGTGCTCGGCTGGCCATTCCACCCTGGCTATCTCTCCACCAATCAAGTTCGTATCTAGCTTTTGGAAAGTCTTTCTTGAAATGTTGAACCCCTGTTCGTCAACGTTCAGTGCTCCTCTCTCTTCGTCGTATTTGAGCACTAATCCATAAATGCAAAGGTAGTGATCTCCAGAGTCCACGTTCCCGCTACCACCGCGTTTGCAACCACTAAAAAAGTCAAATTTGTCATCACTTTTACTGACTACCCACTCTCCATCAATGAACCTTACGAAACACTCCAACTGACTTGGAATCTTGACCATTCCATGGTAGGAACCTGTCAAGTCATTGTCCATTTTAAAGATCACTTTGAAGGCAGCTTGGTGCTTGGTCATCTCCACCCATGATGGCCTTCCAGCTTTCGTTTGATACTTGTAGTTCTGTGTTTGGCACCCGGGTATGCCAGGAGCCAGTGACATGTCAGATACCGAGATGGATCCCTATTTGGAAATCAAAGAGGAAAGAAAAACAAACGCTCATCGATAGTCGCAACCGACTAGCGAGTCGAGTGAAATGAAAAACTTAGTCCCTCTTTGAAACCATTTGGCACACTACTATTGAAAATCACGAGAAAAAAAAAACGCATTAGGGCCTTACGCTAAGATGCGAGTTAAAAGAAGAAAGGCAAGAAAATGGAAGATCGGCGGCTATAAATAGATAAAATGCGTATTGACTGAGTAAGGTCGGGCTTCACTTGAAAATATTTGGCTCTCGGCCATGAGGCACAGACCTGGCTTTACTTGGTCCTCAAGTTATGACCTCGAGCCATTTATTTTCCCGTCCGGCCTATGTACCCACATAGTCAAAAACTATATAGACTACCTCTTCCATGTAAACATCAATTGCTCTTTTCAATGAAGTTCTCCGCTGGCGGATAGAGTACTCAAGTGCCTCTCGGCTGAGATATTCACAGAACTCTTTGACGACAGTTCCATTGACAGTTGCATTGTAGTAGTGTTTATTAGTCCTTGGGTCTTTCCGCAACTCAGCTCTGTGTGCTTCACATCCAAAACTTGGTGCTGCATCGGGAAAAAGGTCAGAGGATCGGAAATCCAGCAATTCTGTTATAGAACTGATTGTGAATTTGAAGGCCTTTGGGAACGTGGGAATTGACTTCAGCCATTCCTTAAACTCGGCTTTAAACGTGGGAGCGTAGACATCAGAAATGACAGCTGCAATCTCCTGACTCCCTCCTTGGACAGACATAGAGGTGGAAGAGGTTTTGGTTTGGGACCTTTGTCTTTCACCTTCTACGTCGCTCTTTCTGGCGCCAGCACTGGCAAAGAAAGATTTAAATTCAAATTCCATAACCTCGCTAAACTCTGTTTTAGATGACACCTCCTTAGCATCCATGCTTTTGCGGATCTCAAGTTGGCCACCGAATCGTCCTGCCTTGATGTAGTGAGTTCCAAAGCGTTGAATAAAATCCTCTAAAAGCGGTAAAACAACAATTAATCCTGATGGGTATTTTCAAGAGGCATCGCAAGGCTGGATGAGGGGAGTAAAAAGAAATAAGATTTAACTCACGAAATTTTAGAGCTGCCCCTGGCTCGTAGTA